CCAAAGAATTCCAGGCACAAGTGACAACGGCTGAGAAAGTAGAAGCGTTGCGGAAGTTTGCCAAGAAGTGTCCGGAAGTGGCAGAGTCCGTGATGAAAGAAGGAACAAACGACGAATGGGAGGAAGCAGCGATGAAGATCAGAGTGGCGCTGAAGAGTGAGATGAAGCCAAAGAAGACAATCATCAAAGAGCCAGCAGTGATAGTTTCCCCAAGATTGAAAATCTCGGGAAGAAGAAACATTCTGGAAGTTCGGAATTCGCATGGACGCGATTTCATGGAGAAGTACGAGTGGAAGAAGGTGAAGAATGTGCTATGGCTGTGGAGAGTCACAAAGGACAAGGAGGTCAACCAACGGATTTTCGAAATGATCGAGAAGTTGGCAGAAGAAGTACCAGAAGTTATAATGGTTCCGTTCAAGCTGGAGTGTGTCATGAAGGAAGTTTACAAGGTGACAGAGGAGTGGAGAAAGAGGCTGAAGACGTTGAACAACGTGAAGCTGATCGATCCAAGGAAAGAGGTCGGAAAGCGAGAATTGCCGTTCATTGGGACATCATTGGATGCGAATGAGTCGAAAGAATCGCTGGTTCGATATCTGGAGCAGGCTGTAGAGGATAATCCGTGTGTGAAACGACTGAAGGCGATGTCGGCGGAGAAGGAGGAGCCACGTAGCAAAATGACCAAGTCCGATAAGTAATTAAGAACATTTTGGGATTTAAATGTTTCTTTTTGTTTTGTATTTGAGTAACTAGTCTAGGGTATTGTAGTAGTTTAGGGTTTAGAGTTAGGTTAAGTGCTGTAGGTATTTTATTGTATTCTTGTGAGTGCGAGTAGGTGAGGTGCGTTAGCAAAGAGTGTAAGGGTCGGAGAAGAATGTGAGTCGTGGCGAGGGTCATACCTTTCTCCGGTCAGGGGTCCGGATTTCTAGAGGAGGGGGAAATTGCCTGGTGCATCTACCCTCCAATTCCTTCTAAAGGTTCCCTCTAACCACGCAACGACACTCCGCTATCCCGCTCGGCGCGCGCACAGTTTAAATTTAGTTTTGAGTGATTGCGAGCTTGGATTTGGCTCGTAGTTTTTGAGAGACTCTTTTAAGGATTTCAAGTGAGTTTGCTTGAAGTCTAAGCTTTTATTTGTTGTTTCTTTCTGACTTGTTCATAATAAACCGATTTTGTTACATTTCTTGTTGATTTTCTTCTATTTTATCACAGGAACCTGATACCCCGGACATACCGCGGGCAATTATTTTTTGAAACGGGATAATTTAGATATTTGACATAGGAAAGATGTAACCGGTAAAAAAAGAAAAATAGGGAGCAAATATATCAATAACGGGTAATACTGGAAGAAATTAAGGATTCAAACTCGGAAGGTAGGAGAAATCGGGTAACTTGGGAAGTGATGGCGTTCCACAGGGGAACAATTGAAGAAAAATAGTCAGAAGAGTAGGGCTGAACAATAATTAAGTCATAGGGCGACGAGGGGAGGAGGAGTATTTGACATGTGCATTAAGGTTAGGAAAGTAGGCGGAGCCATTTAAAAATTTATAGAGAAGAATTAGTTGAGCTTTTAGCCTACGATGTCGAATGGAGAACATGTTGAGGATAGAGAGACGATCAGAATAGGAACTGTACTGGATATTACAACGCTGGAAAATACACTTAGAGAAAAATCTTAAGGGAGATTATAGTTTTAGAGCAAGGCGAGAAGAAGGCGGAGGGGAATAAACTACAGAACAATATTCAAGAATCGGGAGAACATAACATTTGAAAAGATGAATGTAGAATTCTGGAGATTTAGATCTGAATGACTTTAAGAGTTGTTTAGAACGGAGAAGAGCTAAAGATGTGATTTTGTTGATGTGAGCAGAGAATTTGAGAGAGGAATCAGTAATGAGTCCCAAGTCCCGGACGGAGGAGGAGGGAGTAAGTGTGACACCCGCAATATTGAGAGGATGGGAAGAATTATGGGAGCCTAGGCGAAGAAGGGCAGTTTTAGAGTGGGCAAGAGGGAGATGGTTGGCGGAAGCCCAATTTACAACCATGTTGATACCAGTTTGAAGGGCGATTGGGTCATGAGAATACAATTTGATATCATCAGCAAAGGCGGCAAGGTGAAGAGAGGGGATTTGTTCAAGTTCTAAGAGCAGATCATTGATGAATATGAGAAAAAGTAAGGGACCGGAGACTGATCCTTGAGGAACACCAGAGGGAATGACAGAGGAAGGGGGTCCAATAAAATCATAGATTTTGACAGAGAACGTTCGACCAGAGAGAAACGAGGAGAACCAAGCTACGTAAGATTTAGGGACTCCAAAGCTAGCAAGTTTCTGGATGAGAAGTTGATGATGTAACTGGTCGAAAGCTTTGCGGAAATCGAAAAAGACGACGTCTAGTGTATTGTATTTCAAAAGAGTAGCTTTATAATTCGAAAAAGATTGAACTAGAGAGGTGGTGCAGGATCTGTTGGAGAGAAAACCATGTTGAAGACTACTGAATTGATAGAGGAATTCCCATTTGATGCGATCACATACCAATCGTTCGAAAATTCGAGCGAATGGGTCAGTAAGCGAAATGGGGAGATAGTTTTCGGGCGATGAAGGAGAACCCTTTTTTGGTATGGGAACGACTACTGCGTGTTTCCAAGAGTCGGGTACATGTGACGTGGAGAGTGAGTCAGAGAAGATAATCGATAAAGGTAATGCTAGATTGGTGGCGCATTTTTTAATGATAAAGTAATTGGCCGAATGGGGAGAATAGCCACAACGAGGCGGGAGTTTGCGAAGAAGCTTCTCAATTATCCAGGGATCAAAGATTTCAATGTCAGAGCCAGAAAAAGGAAAATGCTGATGACTTATTGCGGGAGTGATGGATGCGGATGAAGTGAGATGATTATAATTAGAAGAGAATGTTTTGGTGAAAAGGGTGGATTTTTCGTGTTCAGAGGTTATAAGACAGCCATTAGCAGAAAGAGGTGGGACTTTAGGTGAAGATCTAATTCTGCTTTTGATGAGGGCGCGGGCAGCACGATAGTGTGGGGCTGAGAGGATTCGTCATTTTCAAAAACATTCAAAGTTTCCCAAGGTATCTTCGCATTTTGTTGCAGCACACAGAAAACGGTGTCGACAGATTTCGCTGCTCTCTATTGTTTCTATCAACTGCTCTTCCTTCGTTTTCAACAAAATGTTTGCTCTGGGAATTATCAAAACTGACCGACGGTCACTTTCAATCGCATCATCATCATCAGCTTCTTCATCGAACCCAAAATGCAGCGATCGAAAACAACAACACCCAACGAAGGAAGACTGTAAGTTTTAGACTGTAAGTGTTTCTGTAATATCTAGAAAATTAGAAGATTCGAAAAAAAAATTCGCGTGCAGTTTCAACCGCAAGAAAGTTAGATGATCGGCCTTGAATCATTTTTCCAACGTTCACATTATATTGGAATGTTGTGAATGAAACCGGTCACCGCAAGTAGAATCGGCAGTTCTGATAAAGTTCACCGAAATGGTATAAGACACAAATCACTCCTTTTTCCATCATCTTTTCAAAAAATCGTTCAAATCTGAAGACCGAAAATGGACGAAAAGTTATTGAATTTTCAAGTGGTGTAAGTTTTTCTAAATTGATGATAAATGGAGTTGCTCAGAACGTCTCGAGAACTGATAAATCGAACAACCGCGTTTCTTGCTTGCTCATTGAGCCGGTCGTTCGTGTATTTGCCAACATGTCTTTCCAAGACGTCCGTCATATTATCATCAACTCTCTTTTTAGCTTTCTTTTTCTCTGATTCTACCATTTTTCAATTGTCTTTTGGAACTTTTGTGGACCAGGAACGCTGTCAATATTTCGATAGTTTTTTTTTACCGAAACACTGTTAGTCCTTTTTTCTTGTTCTAGATTTATCGAATGATCCCTTCCTTGTTATTTTTTAAATTTTTATAACATTTTGAATTCCAAAAGTACAATCAATCAATTTTTTTGTATGTTTCTATATTGAAGAACATGTGTTGCGTGGTGACAGCTTTTCCGTTACCAATTGCTAGACAACCTTCAGAATACAGATACATACATGTTTTGAAAACATTCTTGCGTCAACGCTCTTATGCGAATCGGAACAATTTCTCGAAAGAAACAATTACCTTTTCATTCAAAAAGAAAAATTGTGTATGTATCGTTTTTCCTTTAATGGAACATCGATTAGGTCACGTTTGCCTGAAACTGACGCTTGCCCTTGTCCCCACTACAAACAAAAAAAGTACCTGAAACGGTGGCGCTACTTAAATTAATAGCCTTGTTTTCTTACCACCACCCCAACATCACCCATTCGTTCATTCCTCATTCACTATCTATTATCTGGACGGTCAGAAGGCATTGCCTTTTGTTTTTTGCTTCCTCAATTGTTGATAATATGAACATTACGGAAGTTCCGACTGTAATTTTGCACTCCCCCGATACTGATTCTGTGATTTCCGAGGATGATTCATGTTACTATTTTGATGGTAGTGTGGAGCGGTTGCCGCTTCGGTGAGACTGATAAGACCATTTTGCTTTGAAAATTAAGTATGTTTTTCGAAATTTTCAATTTTCAGGAATCCGGAGTACTCTGATGAAAGAAGCATGCAACGGAGAAACCCGATTCGTCGGCAACGCACTGTTTTGGATGAAGAACAGACTAAAGATGCTATGAAAGTGAGTGAACAATACTATGTGTCCAAGAAAGTTTCGAAAATTTCGAAAAACTCTACTGAATTTCAGTTGTTGCAAAAGTACGTCAAAAAGAAATATGCTGGAAGTGCATTCTTAAATGAAAGCCACGATGAACAAGCTGCAACACCCGTAGACCAGTCAGCAGGTCAATTTTCAAGGTGAGTCTTATCAAAATATAAAAATTCGTGAAATTGATAAATATGAAAAACTTTATCAGAAATCAGACTCCCCACGAACGTTTATCAGCCATGTTTAACGCAAGTCCATCTGGAGCGTTCAGCGATTATATGCCTGCTGTATCACCTGACCGGGACCCAGCTTTCCGAAGTGAATTATTCAAGTGAGTATTTAATTTACTAGACAGTGATAACGGATAAAATAAATAGAAGACACAGAATATATATATATATATATCAGTATCGAAGCAATAATCCTTAATTGTACCACTCTAAATCGCTTATTTGACAAAAAAATTTCAGAAAGCAAGTTTGTCTCAAAATTATAAAGTTGGTTTCATAACATAGGAAAACTAAACTACCGAAGAAGAACGAGCCCCTCATTTTAACTTTGAGCCAATTTATCTCGGTTCCTGTGTAATATATGAGCGATGGTTAAGTGACCGAATGTTTTTGAAATTTATCAACATTTTGAGAGTGGACTACTTTTTAACACCTTTTACACTAAATGAAATAAAAATGGGTTAAATTTTACAGATTGTGGACATTCTTTCAGAGTGTTTGGAGTAACTGGCTATCGGTAAACGATACAAAAATGCAGAGTTTGAAAAATTGAAAAATTTTTAAACTATTTTCTGATATCAGCTTCCCCTTGTTACCTCATTTTTTGTATACAGACCACGCGAGCGCGAATCCTGGGGATCATGGTTCTTCCGAGTCATTAAATTTCTCTACCAGTTCCTAGGACTTCAATATGTCATGCTTGCTCTTGTTATCCTTGGCTACGCATGTATTGGCGGATATATGTTCCAAGCCTTGGAACACGACCAGCAACAATTGGACCTTGAGATGGAACAGCAAGTGAAAATTGCAGAGTCGACGTTGTTAGCGGAAAACTTGATGGATTATATAAAGAAGTGGAATTGTGTATGTTTCCATTATACTACGAAATTGAAGAAAGAAGAAATGTGATATTTAGGGTCAATCTAATGAGAAGAAGTGTTTGGAATTGATCATGAAAGCATTCGTGGAGCGAACTGAAAAAGTTGAGAAGTCGATTCGAGGAGATGGTTGGAGATGGGATTTCTGGAACTCTGTTTTCTTCTCAGCCACTATTTTCACTACCATTGGTTACGGAAATCTCACTTGTAAAACTAATATAGGAAGAATAGCAACTATAATTTACGGTTTAATTGGTATTCCGTTGATGTTGTTCGTGCTGAAAGTATTCGGAGAGTTCTCAATCGGATGGGTCAAAAAAATCAGTTTGTTTTTGAAGAGATGTATGAAAAGATGCTATAGAAGAGCTCTGAAACGTTCAAATACTATTGAGTCAGTGGCGTCCCATGAGATGGCAGATGATGGCAGTGATGATACAGTGAGCTAATTTTTTTTTTTTGAACCTCTTCTTCACTTTTTTGAATCTTTTCTCAGTTATGTATACGACAAACATTGGAATTCAATCTTCACATGGTTCTAATATATCCAAAATTACATTTGTGCAATTTTAGGAAGAAGAAGAGGGAATCACCACTTTTCCTGTCAAGTGGGCCCTATTCATTGTGTTTTCGTTCATGGTGATTTGCTCGTTTATTGTCTCATTTTGGGAAAAATGGGATTTTCTGACTGCCTTCTATTTCTTCTTCGTATCCCTCTCCACAATCGGATTCGGTGACGTCATACCAGAACACCCTCGCACAGCATGTGGTAATGTGCTGTTGTTTTTCTGTTATTCATTTCCAATTCAAGACAGGAATACGAAAAATATCAGGCTAATTTGTTTTCAGGTCTCTTCATCCTCTATTTCGTCGGCCTTGCACTCTTTTCGATGGTATACGCTATTCTTCAGGAGAGAGTGGAAAATAAGTACATGTGGGCTCTGGAGCTTATTGATCAGGAATACCAAGACAAACTGGAGAACGTAGAGCTTGATAAAGAAGAACAATCAGAATATGGTCCACCTGGAGCTGCTGGATCGGGATGGGGTAATGCTATCGGACAGTTGCACTCGCAAAATTTGATCAAGTGGAGAAATCAGCAGGGAAAGAGTATGGACAACATGCCTGATCGACCGATTAGTGAAAGAAGATTCAGTGGTGAGTGGATGCCGAAAGATATAGAACACCAAAGTTTTTTTTTCAGTGTTCACTCCAGGTGAGCCACCACACGCAGCACCTCCTGTTCTTGGAACCTTCATGTTTCACAATATGTCAATGAAGAAGAAACTGATTGCGAGATCTGAGAGCATTCTGAACCAACAAAAGTGAGTTAATGTTCTCTTAGAAGTTGTTATTTGGCAGGCTACTTAAGTAAACGAGACTTATTTTCTTAAAGTGCTAAAAAAGTATACCAAAGGGTTTGAAGTTTTGATATGCTCTAATAATAAGTCAAATCTAATCAATATGCTCCTTAAGTTGAACAATGTTTTTTGTTCAGTCCGAAACGACCGTCAACTTTGTTCCCCAGCAATGAAATGCTCTCCAATTCAGCAAATAGCTCGCGGGGGTAAGACAAGCTAAGCATAAGCATTTTAAAACATATATAAATTTTAGTTCACCATGGCCACAGGCGGTCGACATGAATCAACCCAAAGAGCCTATTGCCTTGGGCAAGTCACTAGGAATATCTGCTCCTAACCTAGCCAACACAGGCAATCGGTCCCCATCTGGCGCCCTGTCTGTGATCACCGAGGCCAGCGACGAGGATACGCGCCACTTCAAAAAGCACCGAAAACCGTTGGCAAAGACTATGGCAACCAGTGATACGCCGTCAAACCCTGGTACACAGTTTTTTTTTTGTTTTTTTCTATCAATCCGTTTTCTTTTTCTTATCAAGTCACAGAACTATATATCAACTTTCGCCAGTTTTCTTTTCCAATGTGCTTTGATAAGATAACAAGCAACGACAAATAATAAGATATGGATAGGCGGAGAAAAATACACATTGTCATGGTTTTGTGTTACAGGCAGTGCTGAGAGTCTTGATCAAGAAATGGATGAGTTGCAATTGGAATTTCCTCATCAATCAATCACACCGAAACCGTATCGAGATCCACACCAAATTCAAACATCGAAATTCAGAAAACAAGATGAAACGGTTGCGTCAAGAGCTGAAAGAATGCCGCTGTCGCCGAGAGAACCGTTGGAAGAAGAGGATGAGGAGACGGAACAGTGAAATGAATGATGCCGTGATTTTTTTTTTGAAAATTGAAAACAATATGTTTATGGGTCCATTGTATTGTGGCTTATTTTAATTCAAAATTCCGAATATTGCGACGTTTGTCTGAAATCGACGTCTTGAGCAGTTCTGTTTCCCTATTATTTTTTTCTTGATGTTATTTAGATTCTTTTTTCTAATCGAGTGATCTTTCTGGCAAAATTTTGTTCAAAATACTTGTCGAAGTACTACATAATTTCACATTTTACAAACTTTGATGCAAATCATTTATTAATACATTTTCTTCAATATTATATAAAACAAACGTCTTCTTTGAGAATAATCTGAGTCTTTGTAAAGAAAAAAAATTCCTGGATTTTTAACAACTACATCTCCAGTTATATTAATGGCTAAGACAGTAGGTGTGAGGGAAGTATCAAAAAATAATGATTACAAAACGCTTAGAAGATATCATGGGGTAGAGACCCCTTGGTTGGAATTGTTTGGTAGCTGAACACGCATCGTCGGTGGGGAAAACTGGCAAAGAATTTAGCATTCATCATCACTGGACTCAATCAGTTGTTGACGATCCTTGGACCGGCGAAGTTTCTTGAATTGTTCCATTTTTTGTTTCTGAAATCAAAGAACAGTCTGAACGTATTGTCACTTTGTCTTATCACATTAGGAGACAACAAGTCACAGAAAACGGATACTGTAACTTACCGTTCCTTTGAAACGACCGCCGCTCTTTTTGACCGGTTTTGCATCGTCAACACTAGTGCTACTAGCCGATGCATTGTCTTTATCCTTTGATGAAGACGACGAACTGTCGTCGCTGAATGGCGATAACTTGCGAACGACGGCGCTCATCTGAATTCGGGTTCATTTTGAATTCTAAATCATAAAGCGGTCAGTTGGGCAGGCGAAAGGCGACCAAATGGGACAATAAACAACTTTACAAGCAATTCTCCCCATTCGAAAATCCGCCTTTTTACATCCCATTCGCTTTTAGATAGATATATATGTGGGGGTGTGGAAATGAGAAACTAACTTTTTGTGAGAAGATGCTTGGACTTGTCTTTTTCTCAGGATTCTCCACTTTTGGTTCAGACTCGACCTCGACTTTCAATGGCTCCTAGAAATTTAAATTTTACGGTTTTCTGGAAATTAATCATTTGTCTCCCCAAGAAATAATAAAAATTGTGCTCTCTTGAAATAAAATAAATAATAACGTCACTTTGGACCAGAACTGAAAGCCTCGCCCCGGAATCATCACACATACAACAAGCACTATTGTCAACCGGAAAATCTGCTTTTCGTCTGTGTCTTCTTCCCCTCACAACAACTTTTTTCCTGTACGCTCCTTTTGCGGTATTGGCGGTGCGCGGAAATGCCTGTTCTTTCAAATGCCCGTCGTCACCCTCGCAAACATAAAGTAGCAATAGTTGGTTATTGCGTTTTTTATTGAATATGGAAAAGAATAGAACAAGTGACAAAAAACTGAATGTACAGTTCCTGTTCTATCATAAAATGTGATAGAAAATGTTTATGGAGTCCGGATAAAACAGGGAATTTAAGGTTTATACCTGTTTTTGTGCTTGAAAATCCTCCCAAATAATTGCTGGTGGAATGATGTAGTTGAATTGGCCAGGTGTAACGGATTCTAAAATTTGATTTTGTGTTTTGCCTAGCTGAAAATGTGAGGTAAAGATATCAGATCTTTTCAGGTGGCTAGGCTGTCTGAAAATCCAAAAACAATGTTCAGTTCCTCAACCGCTATTAGAATCAGATTTCTGGAATATTAGATTTCGAAGCTTTTGAATCCCCTTTTTTGAAATTGTCCCTAATTCTTTAGAATAGTTTCTAACGGGAATTAAAAAGAGTCGTGTGTAAGAAAACGGTTTGTCTTGAAAATCTAAGCATACTCACGCTTTTCCGAAGTTAGACGTTGTCTTCCGTTCGTCAACTCGCTGAGCCGTGAGGTGACGGCTCTTGTGATAGAAGACATCTGAATAATTCATTAACAACTTTATCAATTCATAGTCTGAAAAACACATAAAAATACGAAATGGCCAAATCCTAGAATGATTGAATTTTAGAAAACGCAAAATCAAAACGAAGGCGTTCTCGGTCCATCTCTACTTCTCCCACCGCTTTTCTTCCTCTCCGCCCACTTTGTCTCCGTCAGTCTTCCAAAGCCAGAAGTGGAGCTCCGCCCTCTTTTTTGGGGGTTTAGTCTTCATTTCTGACTTTGCCCCCAAAAACCTTTCGACCCATCAGAGACTCGCTGGTCGACTCACTGTCTATTTGCATTTAGATTTAGACATGAAGCTAGAAGGATGGGAAGATGGGGCAGAGGAGAGAAATAAAGAAGCTTGGTGGGAATGGGCGAGAAGAGCTAGAACAACAAAATGTCGGGATTAGTTACCTACAGAGTATAAAGGCCAGTGGCAACTGGTAAAAAAAACGACGACGAGAGGGATAGTTCGGTTTGCCTTAGGCAGAGTAGAATCAACAAGATGCGTCATTTGGAAGAAGCAAATACTTTTTCAAACGGAAAGGAGATAGTAACAAAATGAACGAAAAAGTATTGAGTGAAAATACAAAAGCGCGTAAAACACTAAACTACATTCATTGCGAAGAAAGACAAAAGAACACGTTTTAAAAATTCATTAGGGAGTAAACAACAGAAGCTGGCTGAGCTAACTTGAATGAGTTTGGGTTACTGTAATAAGAAAACTCTTTACTCTAAAAACTTATTCACAGTAGTAACAGGATCCAGAACATGGTTTTTCAGAAACTTTTGTTATTTAGAAAATTTGAAACTCGAAAATCTAGAACAAACATGAGTAGCGAATCTAGAGATCATTTTTGACTTTTCAGAAGTACATTTTACAATATTCAAAATAACGAAATATAAAAGTGTGTGGTCCAAATAAAAAGGTATACGAGGGATATCTAAATGAAAATTTTATCAAACTTTAAGACTGCCGTAAACGAATGGTAATGCTAACGCAAAAGGAATTCTACTGCAAGAGAAACCGTCCACTCTAAGCCTATACAACTCATTTCTTGAGAAAGATAGCAAAAAATGTTTATTTTAATACCAAAACTTTTGTCAGTTGACTACCTGATAAATTTCACAGGAACCACGATGAATTGTCTTGAAGTTGAAAGTGAGGGGCCTTTCTGAAGCTGTTTGCTTTTTTTCAGCACAGTCGGTCATATTTTAAAACTAACGATCAACAAAACGGACTAAAAATGCCAGTATTAAGGTATTTCTCTGTTAATCATAAAATTTCTGATTTTTGATGCTCGGAGCAACTGGATTACTGTAGCAATTGCCGTAAACATCGTTATTATGAGTGCTCGTGACATTTTGAGAAGAAAAATAAGAGAAAACGCACTTTATTGGCAACGATTATACGAACAGTTTCTCGATTCACCACGTATACTAAACTTTTATTAGCATCAATTCCATGACACACTGCATCAAAATATTTACACCGTGTCCGCCTTTTTCCCCAAACATTTTAGCGAAAACTGCTTGGGAGCCAAACGATTCTGTTGTCCATAACAACAGTACAACTAGACAGTTATTGTTGCGTAAAAGAACGAGAGAGATGGTAGGTGAGAAAAAGTATGGCAGTTTGGATGAAAACGAACTAGTTGGTGATTCAGGGGTGGCGAAAAAAAAAACTGCAACACACGGGGAGGGCTACTGGAGAAATGAAGCGAGGAGGACAGAGGAAAGAGAAGAGGAAAATTGAACACAGCGGAGATCTATCTGGCATGAGGAGGGAAGGGACAGATCCAAACAATATTCTCCCGAATGCTGCTGCATCGCTTGGTCATCAACACGTCAAAAAAAAAGACCGATAAAAAATAGAAAGAGAAAAATCTGGGAATGGAGCGAGAGAAAGAAATAGTGCATTTGAGACTTTGGAAGTCAATAAAATGCGCAAACATTTGGAACATTATCGAAGAGCCTCCTGGGCAAATCACAAATCATGTGTGGGATTACTAACCGTTCAAGGGAAATGAAAAATAGTTGAAACAAAAGCTATTGGTTGTTCAAAAACTCAATTTTCGTTATTAGGCCAACATATTAAAAAATTTCAACTTCCTAGTTCTGCAAATATTGTTTAAAAACTTCCTTCAAAAATCGGGAAAAATTTTTGTATTAAACTTAACATGAAGTCAATTTTTTTCAATTTTTCGTCCGGTTTAAAAAATGTTTCAAAACTACTCAACCATTTACAATGATCTGATTTACAAATTTTTCAAAGCAGTCACAGCTTTTCGGATTCCCAGACACAATTGTTGCTATTCAATGCTCATAGCTGATCACAAGACGTTGTAACTTAAGGGTCCCTAGGTCAATCAGTCAGACGGCTTTACACATGTGTTACTTATTTCTAGAAGTGTCCCTGTGATAGACATCTCAGCTGTTCCATTAGTCCCAAGCAACTTTGCAGCATCCAAAGGAAAATAATTCACGATTTAAGACATTTTAACAATAAGGATTTGCACCAATTCAAACATTGTTGTACACTCCTTAAAAATATTTTTTTAAGAACTACTCGGGCTTTTTAAAGATGCACTTGTTTTTTTCCAACTCAAGATGTTTGTTCACAGGTTTTTGGTGTCCGTATCGTTTTCTAACTTAACCTAGAACTCAAAAGACCGATCAACAAAAACATCACTCTACAGACAAATTGTAAGTCATAAATTGCATTTTGGTATATACACAAATGGTTTCTTATTTCCACATGTTCCAATTGTCTGTCGTACCCCCGCAAAATATTCAATTCTTAATACAACGGAATTAGGAGGTAATATAAGACGAAAAGGTCGGGCAGGTTGGTGTTAATTAGTGATTGAAACACAAAACATTTATTCAAGGCCGAATCGAAATTTAAATTTAAATTTAGGATACTTGGTTGAAACTTTGAAAAACTTCTCTCAAATCACGGAAATATTTTCAGAGAATGCGATTTCAAAAACATAGACATTGAAAAAATAGATTGATTGAGAGAAATTGAAAAATGAATTGATTCAGACTGGAGTAGAGTCGAATTCCAGAAAAAGAAACTCTCGATTTAGATTTTTCTGTTTTCCATTTCTCGTTCGTCGTTCTAAATTTGATTTTCTTGTTATGACGCAGTGAAAGAGAGAGAGAGACAAAGTATTTGATTCATTGTCTAATATGATTTCTCCAATTTTCAAAAAAAAGAGATTTGTTTTCACAGAAGAAACATTTAAAGTTTCCAATAACTCTCTGCTTACTTCTCGACTTTTTTGTTGTGCTCTGCGTTTTCTGGGAGAAGCGAAAAATTGACGTTGGCAAGAATATCAGAAATTCGCAAACGTTGCGTTAAAAACCACTTGAGACTGGTTGAAGTAACTATTTCAAGTACTTTTTCCAGGGAAATGTATCATTGCATTTAAGGTTTTCAATAGAAATTTTTCAAAAACAAAATTTACAGTAACCGAAAATAGTGAATCTGGCTAACGCTGATTCAGTAGCCAAATGCTCAGACAAAAATGACTCATTCCACATTCTGAGGAATGTTTCAATCAAGAGGGTTGTGACATTTCTCTTTAATATCAGTAGTGGGGATGAATCATTGTTATAACGTAATTAGGAATGTGGAAGATGTTTGATGGGAAGCTTACAAACCCTTTACACAAAAAAATGTCGAGATTTGTAAAGAAATTCGTCAGTTTCCATTCATTTTTAAAGTTCGTTCTTTGAGTGGGGATTGAATTAAAGAAAAAAAACAGTTAAGGAACGCAAATGGTATGCAAACAATGGTAATAAACATTTGGATTTTAATAAAGTATTTACTGTATGTCATCTTAACGGGTTGATTTGCAGTAGTGTTGTTGCAAACGCAAATTTTTCTGACGGGTTTCATGACTTTCTGATAACTGTATTCATGAACAGTAGGTCGTGAAAGAATGCGTTCATCTGAGCATTTCTTACCTTGTTATAGACTTTAAAACTTTCATAAACGGTTTCAAACTCAGCAATTATAAAAATCAAAAACTAATTCATCCCAAATTCATTTGAAAAACTTATAAATAGAAACCTACATGTACTTTTTAGGGTGAAAATTAAAAAACCTTCTGAATATTCAGAAGCTTTTGAGATTAGCTCAGTTTCTCTTAAAAAATCACCGAAACGAGTTTCGAAAATTTATTGTTTAAAGTGGGTGGATTAGTTATGTTTTGCTTCTAGAGCCAAATGCGTGTGTGACAGAACAAAGACAATGGAGCTTTCGAGTAGCAAATTAGGAATTCAAGTTAGGGAGGAAAACTCAGATGAGAAACACGTTGGAAGGGCAAGAAGCATCGGAAAAGCTAAAGGTCTGCCTCATAACACACAAACACACAGGTCAATCGTTTTTCTCCGTGAAAAAAAAATACACACAACACATACATAGAGACATCCCATGTGAAGAACTATGTAAACGAGTTTGGTAAGAGGAGGTGAAGAAGGCGCAAGAAAACGGACATCTCGTCGGTCCTCTTCTTTTAGTCGTCGTTTCTACTTCTTTCTACTTCAACTTGTTCACGTGTTCGTTTAGCGAAGCGCCTCTTCTATTTTGCTTAGTTTTCCTTTTCATTCAGTGGCCCACTCCTCTCTCTCTCTCTCAGCCGTTGCTTCTTTTACTCATCGTTCCTCTAGTTCGTCTTCTCTTCTTCACTCAAAAAAAATTAGGGGAGAAGTTTTGAGCAAATTTAGAAGAAAGACAGAACAGCAAGAGGCGACTGTTGAACGGAAATCTAAATAAACAATTTTCCCTGCAAGCGATTCTTTTTGAGAACACTCTACTACCAAAATTTGATTTTGAGGGTGCAAAAGGAGTATTAAAAGAAGACACTGTATTTGAGCGCTGTATGTCCACACTCGGTTCTCAGAATTTTCACAAAAATTGAAAGAATAAAAATAAGCTGAGGAAGAGAAACAAACAACCAAGAAATGAAGATGAAAATAAAGCGAAAAAAAAAGAAGAACATCTGGAAACTGGGAATAGAGGGTCGAAGGGAGTGAGGGACCAAAAACAAACGAAGAAGGCGGGGGAAAATTGTTGGATTGAGAGAATAAGATATAAATAAATTTTTCTCAAAAAACATTTCCACAGACGAGAAGATTCTGGGTCGTGAAATTGAAAAACTTAGCGATATTTAAAAAGTAATTGGCACGTGAAAACTGGGAACAGGTAATTTCTAGTCTGAATAGTGTGCAGAATAGTCGGAACAAGGAGGTTAAGTAGTTTTCGAAAACCTATCAAATGACAGCAAACAAAATTTGGAGGAGAAAAGGAGAAAAAGACTGGAATGAAGATGAGTACATTTTTGTCGAATTGGCATACATAAGCAAAAAAAAACACAAAAGTCAATTGAAAGTTGTATAGTTCAAAGATATTGCATAAAAAATATATAGATCAAAAAGGGATTTTTCATAATAAAATCAGATACATGGGAAAGGAGTGTTTTAGAATAAAAAAGTGTTCTTTAAATAAAATTTCGCAGAAGTATCAGAAAAGCTGTTTGATGAATCCCAATACTCCGCAGAAGACCAGCTTTTCAGTATTTCCTCATATGAAGCGTTCAATATTTTCTGTCCACAGAGTCACCAAAGTTCAAGTCAGTTCCGAGAAAGAAACTTGCAGCAATCTTAATAAAGTATGGAAATCAACAAAAACCAATTAAGCTCACAAAATTGAATTTTGAGCCTGCGATCAGAAAGAGCAAGGGAAACATTCTGAAAACTGGAGCAGCTCTCATGATTTGTTTGTTAGTTTGGAAATCGAACAATAGTAAAGAAAGAACATTGGTTCTTAGAAGTATTCTTTGTTTTTTTTCGGCAGTTTTAAAACAGTTCGTCAGATATTATATAATGATTGAGCAAAACATTTTGACAAATTGATTGTAAAATTCGAATGCACTTTTTCGTTCAGTACAAATTTTGCCTTTTAAGTTTTTTGTCCACTTTCCTATTTCAAATGTGTGTTGCTCTGTCTAGCAAACTAGTAGTGTGTGGTGATGTTGGTCCCGTTGCTTGGTGTCAAGACGACTCCTCGTGGCGTCTCACTTCTGGTTTCAAACATCCTATTTTTAAAAGATACTTGCATCACCAGAGCACTAATCATTCAGATTTATGGTTTCGCTCTTTAATTGCGTTTTGTAAGAGACTAGATATCAAAGGGCTAGCCGTTAAACCCGTCATAGAATGGCCCTGTAACTTTTTTTTTCCTGTCAAAGATATAAAAATGTGGCTCACTGATAAATTAGTTGTCTTAAATGTTGAAAAAAATTCATCAGTAGATATATTTCTTACATCGTGCAGAGATGCCAGGAAATTCAGCTCAAGCGCCATAGTGTGGGGGCCATTCTTCACTTATTACAGGATATTGAACAATCCAAGTATGTAAATTTTTTGTAATCAAAAATTAGCTCGAGAAAAAAAAACTGACTTTTCTTTCGAGTTTTTCATTATTTATAACTCTGAACTTTCTCGGATAATGCAAGCCTACCAAAAAAAATTATTCATATCCGATTCAGTGAAACAAATCATTTTCGATATTCCCTGGAGTGTTCTTTTGCATTGATCTATCTAGGAAAATAACGAATCCTTTTGGTAACGCAAAAATGCGTTTTCCCAAATATAAATTATTTTTGTCTTCTCCCAGATCCCAGACCCTATTTGTCAACAACACAGCTTGAACCAGGCGGTTTTCCCTCACTTCTGGAGACGTGTGAGTTCTATTTGTCATTCAACGGTAATGGTGACTATTCGTTAGCGTAAGATGCCGAGGTCACCCGTTGTGAAGTGGGCAAAGCGAAATTCCCTCCGAGTGAAAAATTAGTTTTTCAAACTTTCAAACTGTATATGTGTCCGTTCTTGTTTACATAGTAGTTTTTGTGAATAAATCGTTTTCTTATTGAATCTGTCGAATAATGATAGAATAAAAAATCTAGGACCTTCAATTTTTTAAGATTTCTTCATCTTCTCAATTTTCCTATGTGATCTGCTCATTAGTCTTTCATGTTAAGAGCTCACAGGTGACATTCGACCGTTACCCTTTTCTTCAATAAAAATGTATGCTATCTCATTCCAATCCTTTCAAACAACCACATCATCTGGTAGGCATCTGGTCCAATGAATTTTTGATTGACAGTAAAACCAATTTACGCAACACACTCAGATGCCGTACTGCTCTCCAGTATCCTGCAGTGATCGGTGTACCGGAGTTTAGTACCATATTCTCTCTTCCTCATTTGGCTGTGGAACCATTTTTCTCTAGATCTTATCTCCCTGTGGAAACATAAATATTCTGATAACCAGGTTAACTGGACACCTCAATTTTACTTTCTGGTATATGCTTTGGTGTCAATTCATCATCGTGACATAGATTGTTAAATGGGGTATTTAATTCATTAAAATTTGTTCCGGGATATTTTAGGATAATCGTGATAATCAGCGAGGCACTCATTCAACATTTAAAACGCATTTTCCGTTGTACCTGAGTACTAAAAACTATAAGTTGTGATAGATTCAGGAAGTTGGCATAATTTTAATGAGTTACAGTGCCCATTTTTTCGACGTCTTTTCCAATTTTAAGACCTCTATCTAGAAGTGTTTAGCTTTAGTTTTTTTCCATTTAATGGTATTCACTATCGTGTACTCCTTATTGATCTTTTTTAATGCTGAACGAAAAACATTTACTGCGATTTTGCACAGAGGAAACCGAATTTTGTTAGGGAAGCAGGATTAAGGGCATTGCTTCTTCGTTTCAACAAAGCATTTTAGTACAATTTCAAATTTAAAAAGTCAGAAACTTTGATTCCAGTGAGCTTACTGAAACTCACATTAGTCTATCCATATACCACCTGCAAACCTTGACTATTTATTGACCGTACCCTCTGGGAAAAAGTTATTCTTTAATCTAAGAGACTCCTCCACATAAACGGCCCGCATTCCCACCTGGACAGCCCTCCTCTCTTGCTAATCTCGGAACCACTACAGTCATTTTTTTTGTGTTTCCTCACTACAGCTCGTCTTGACCCGGACCTGTCTTGCAAATAGTCGTTTACATTCATTTTTTGTAGCATTTTTTGCTGGGAATTCCCAAAATATCTTTGACAAAAAGCACATGTTTTCGGTAGCATGAAAAATGTTGATAATTTGATTTTCGAAACTTAGGAAGGATTGAAATTTTAGTTCTTGTTTGTAGGAATCCGGTATTCAAAAGTAGTACACTAAAACTCCAATTTTGAAAACTGGTTTTCTTTCGTCAAAAATAGCTTCCTCGATTTGAGTTGCTCCAATGGTTTTCAACGACCTATGTTCTCAACACAAAACTGCATTGATTAGTCATTTACTGTGCTCGCCGCTCTTTCGCTGCGTCTCTCTAATAATATAAACTATATCTTTGTCTCTCATCGTTTGGCCTCCTTTACCCCCGGCAAAGGTCGCTCACACAGCGCGCATACCTTCAACATACACATACAATCTACCATTCTCCCATCGCCCTTCTTCTCCTACGCCTTTCGTCTGTGTCTCTCATTTCATGTGCACTATTTTCTCGGTGGGCCGTCAGAGGCATCCGTTTTAGTGTTACATTGTGAAAAGAAAATTTTGTTGCAAACGCGCTCAACTGTATTCTGAATATTTTTGACTTGAAATAAGGAAATTTTTCCGTGAATCATCATCTCTATATTCCTAGCTTCCAAAATTCTGGCAGTACTGGTACAAAAATATGAGAGTGAGGAAGAAAGATGAAATGGAGCAGAAAACGTCATAGAAGATTTAACTATGAAGTGGCTAGGCGGAGAAAGGTATTTTTCTTAAATCATGTTTTTTTTTGCTTCAATTCAAATGTAAATTTCAATTAAAGCTTATACTTAGTATTTTCATTTTTCAGCTTTTCCAAATGGACAGTAAGAAACTTATATCGGGTCATCAGTTCGCTGTTCTCAAATTGCAAGACTCTTGCAAGAGCATCGTCAAAGATTTCGGGTTCTCTGCGGTCTCTCCAGCTGCGATCAACAAATTATCTGCGATATTGAGAAGTAAAATGACGGAGCTTTCACAGCAAACACGGTTACTAATGGAGCATGGTGAGTTTCTGAACAAAACTAGGACAAGCATTCATAAAACGTTTTGCAGCGGGTCGTTCACAACCAATCGTAGAAGACGCAATATCAACTTTAAAATGCAAAAAGATCAATATGGCGGATTTGATAGAATACTCGAAACAAGTCAGAGGAGAACGATTGAATTCGGTGAGTATTTTCTGTTTACAGCAACCCTTTGATGAAAAATTTGTCTTTCAGCTACCAGTATTTCCCACCCCCGACTATGAGCTAGCAAAATCAGCTGAATATTTCTTCCACGCAATGTATGGCGCAGTACCATCTGATAGAGAGCTTGAAACACGACCAGAGCACATTCCACGCCATCTCCGTGCCTTGCACCCAGATTGGATTGAGGATGAGAATCGAGCAGTGGTTGACAAAGTCACCAAAAAGGTTATCAAAACTGCAGAGGACCGTGAGGAAGAGGAGTTTGACAAGCTGAAGCGAATCAACACCTATCGTCGAAATGAAACTCCAGAAGCTCAGTTGGCCAGAGAAGAGAAAGAACGTAGAGAGAAGGAAGAAGCTGCGTATGCCAAGAAGCGAAATCGCGAGCGGTACGCGTTGGGAATCACTTCGATGAAAGACACAGATCTCCCAAATTTCGAGGATATGGATTATGAGGCGATGGGATTCTTTGCCGATATTGCGGAGACCAAAAGAATGGAAGAAGAGCGTGTGATTGAGGAGGAAAAGGCAAAGGAGTTGTTGGCTTTGATCCGACCAAAACCAAATGTCACAACATCTTCGTTCGTCAAAGTCACATCGGACAACTTGGTCAATAGCGGATGGCTTGGCACATCAACATCTCCTCCAGTTCAGACATTTGTATCAGAAGTTTCCATGCCGGTAAGTTTTTTTGAGTAGGGAGAAGAATCTCATAACTCAGTTGATCTTGACGTAGTTACGATTCATGGGAAAGTCGAATAATTAAGAAGGAAGAAGTGATAAAAATCATCAATGTGTGAGCCCAGTACTACCCAGAAACTAGAAAATGAGCACGAATCTGAAACGAACAATAGTGCAAAATAATGAAAATTAAATAATCACTTTCACGACAAAAATAGTCGATCAATGCAGTTTTTTCGGAATTTTATTGTGAACTTTCTGCCTTTAGCATATTTGCTCGCCACGAGTCAAATAGAACTCATTGCGCAGCAAGCATGTGCTAATGCCAAAATGGGCGCTACGAAACTGACAGGGAAGAAGAAAAGCGGGAAGAAGCATGGAAATTGCTACGACCCCAGTCAGTGCAGCTGTCCTTTTTTGTCATCCCAGGCTGGCCGTTATTGATTTTCGTTCTTTCGCTAAACAAATTCTATTTTCAGGTCTTCAAACCCGAGATCATCCCACAAGAGCAGATCGTCACTTCCTCAGTAATCACCACTGAAGATGTTGGTCCAACTTTCAAGATGTCAGATTTGGTCAAAAGCAAACCGCTTATCAAGTTGTCGGGAACTGCTTCGAATCCTGGCTCAGCACCGACTTCAAGACCCGGAAGTGCCATGAGCGGTACAGTAAGCAGCACAACAGGAATGACAACAGGCACACCAGTCAAGGTGAAACTGGCAGTGGGACGTCCGAAGAAGCCAAAGCCAGAAGGTGCTGATGCTGTCGTTAGTGTTCCAAAGCCAAAAGGACGACCACCGAAAAAAGCAACGCTTGAGAAAGTTGGTTCATTCATTAATTTTTTTCAAAGAATCGAAAAAAATTGTTTATTGGTAATATCGAAACTAAACTCCATTGTTTACAGCGAAAGCGACTCAGTGAGCAAATCATCGCTCAACAACAAGAAAAAATCGACAAGTTCAAGGAGGAGAAGCCGGAAAAACCTGAAAAAGCTGAAAAGCCAGAAAAGAGAACTAAGAAGAATTCACTCGCCGAAGAAATTCGTGACCAGCTTCTCCGTGCCAGGAGCCAGATGGTTTTGCCAAATTCTGCGCTTCCTCCACCTCCTCCTGTTGTGATGCCGGTTGTCGAAGCGCCACCACCAATAACTCTCCCACCTCTCATCATTCCAAAATTCAATTTTGACGCCATTGCAACAGATGTACCAGAAGTTGGAGCCACAATGGAGATTGACGCGGCACCAATCTTGGAGTCACCGATGATGGAGATCGAGATCACCACCGATGACCCGAACGCTCCACTGTCTGCAGTTTCTGACATCATCCCTCTAGACTTTCCAGAGGTTGGTGAGAAGAAAAAAAAGAAGGAAAAGCGTGATAAGAACTCGGAAGAATACAAAGAGTATAAAAAGCTCAAAAAGGAACGGAAACGAAAAGAACGTGAAGAGCGCAAAGCAGCCGAAGCTCAAGAAAATCCTGAGAAAGTTGAGCAAGTTGTGGAGGCTTCAGTTCCAGCCACAGTCACGGCTCCAGCCGCTGCTCCAGCCGCTGCTCCAGAAGAGACACCTGCAATGGTTACTGGTGAGTTCTTATACATTTATATCTATTGTATTGCTGGTTCGATTCAATTTCTTCTGTGTATACTGGGAGGCACGCAGTTGTCGGAACTCTCTCGTCTGTCTTTTCTTATATCGTTTCGATGATATTCAATTCAAAAAAGTCTATCTTTGATCGCATGTACTTGCCGACATGATTGGGCCGTCCGGCAGGTGATCAGCTTCTACTGTAGTCTTGTTTTCCTTTTCTATCATCTTTTCTCACCCCGGTCGTGGACTTGTATAACACACTCTGCTCAATGCTGTCATAACGGGAATGATCATATAACGCTTCTATTTCAATGGTTATGAACTAACACTGTGAACTCTTTCGTGCTGTTTTTTCATGCAAGAAATCGTTTCTAGATCAACACAAAGGCCTGCGTTTCCGGATCAGACTCTACTGATTGTTGGAAGAATCGAGAACCTCTAATATACTAATTCGTTAAAGAGTCAGAAAGTGAAAGAAAGATAAAAGTCCAAGTTTGGTTTTTCCTGTAGGCCGTCAATGTTTCTTTTTGCTGGTAGGTAGTTTTCTTTTTTATGCATCTGATTGTAATGCTAATTTTGTGGTGGTTGGTTTGCAAACGAGTGTCGTGGCGTAATCTCATAAATAACGAAAATAGTATCTTCCCTTTCAAAGCAAGATTTGAAATAGTAATGGTTCATTCCAAATCTGAGTTCAATATAACATATCCTTTCAATTCGTTTTATGAGTTTTATGTGAATCAAGACGAAAAAAGATTAGTGGTCATCTATGTCAGATAATCCATCGGATGGTCTCCTTTTCTTCTTCCTCATCTTCCTCCTCTATTCCATCCCATCTCATTCGCATTTTCGTGTCTTGTTACTCTCATCAGTTTTGCCCTCATCGTCTATTCAAAATTACTTTTTATTCAACCATCAGCTCAGCATGATGTAAATACACAGAAAATAGACACAGCTCTCGCCCCATCCTCTTGCTCCTCCTCCCGAAAAAAACCGATGTGGAAAAAGAGCAATACTGAGGGATAGAGGAAGAAAAAAGAATGAGACACAAAAATTGTAGGAAGAAAGAAGTGTAGGATGAAAAAAAGAAACAAAAATACTTTTTGCCTTTTCCCCTCCTCGACCCCGCTCTTCTCCTCTCCCATCATTCTTTTGCTCATTCTCCGCTCCATTATGATCCCGAAATTGCAACAGAATTTACTGTAGCTCGAAACAATTTTTCTCGAACCATATGACTCATGACTTGCTTTTCTGCCGTCCAGCCACCAACACAAATCTTTGAATTGTTTCCATTCAGTCATTTTTCATTCACTCGAAAAAAAAACACTCACAAGACACTCACAAACCTAACTCCCACATTTCACACTCATTCTTTTTTTTATCAGCTTACTAATTTTTTTTTCATTACATAGATAAGCATCTCAATTTTCTTTCTCTCTGAAAATTTTCGCAAGAATGCTTTTCCGTCTTTTGTGAAAACGAAACGTTTGGTAGTCATGTTTAAAATGCAATGTAAAAACCGACGAAAGGAAAAAGAGGTGAAAAGAATAGAAACAGCAGCTAATTATCGTGTCGTAGAAAAACAAGGAGGACGGAAAAATCCATCGTTTTTGTCTCAAAATGAGAAGAATCACTTTTTTTGCTGTTGTGTGGAGTGATTCTCAGAGTGTAAAATGTTTGGATTTATGACTTTAAAAAAGTCTTATGACAATTTAAAAGGTCGAATTTGCTTTTGAATGAAAGGATTCAGTATAAAAGTTCAGTTTTGGGAAGCAGAGCGGTAATTCAGCTATCATCGTTTCCGGTGAGAAGATATGAGTTCATTCACTTTTTTTTAACTGTTCGCCATTTCGCACACCTTTCAAAAATTTACTGATAAGCTTCTGATTTGCAACCCATCCAATACTTTTTGAGAACTAAAATTTTTGAGTCATTCTCTAATTTAAACTAGGAGATCCAAAAGGCTAACGTTCTTCAACCCTATCAAAACATTGACCATTCGGTTTTCCAATAGTTCAATTTCAAGTCACGTGGAAAATGTTCTCTGACAGTAGGAAATTTGTCCGCCACCACTCAGTCCTCAAATAAAAATATCAAATTCAGCACAAGATGTGTGTAGTGGTCCACATAGAGATATCCAGTGTGAGAGAGGAAAAAGATATTCATTCGGTTCCCAATGCCCATGTCCTTCTTGTTGGTCCTCGCTCCGTTTTTTTTTTGCGACGTCGTTTTTTGCCTCAATCTTGTTCTTCGAGGTCCCAAGTATGTCTCTTTTTCACGTCTTGTTTGTCATTGTCTCCTTTCCATGCAAACCAAGACCCTTTCGTATATAGCAATCCTTGGACACTAGGTATAAATGTTTTTTTTTCCGCGTTAACCGTTGGATTGGGAAATACTAAGCCCGTCAAAAACTTGAGCCATTTTCATATTTACTGCTCCAAAACGAAATCATCTTCTCAGTTTCCGTCTTATTTCCAAGACCTCTCACATTTCTTATGAATGGGAATTGGAATTGGAATTGGACGTGTTGTGGAGTATAGAATAGAAGAAACAAGAAGAGTGAAAGGGCATTGTAAAATACGGCCATCCGTTTCCATGTTTTCTCTTTTGCCCAAACTGAAAAAAAGTTGAAGATGTTTGTTGATTCCTTGTGGCTAGTTCTGTATGCCTTCAATTTTTATGAACCGTTTTACACTGCAATTTTGTTTCAGATCCCACCACCAAGAATCCAAAGCTTAAGCTGAAAATCAAGTTTGGTGCCAACTACCTCCCAACAACTTCGTCACCAGCCAAGGAGTCACCAATGCGCCCAGATTCCACCAGTTCTGCAAACCGACCACCTTCATCAAAAGGTCACTATCAAGACGAACCACCAGCAGCTCCACCAGCGAATCCATCAACGTTAAAGTTCCGATTTAAGAATCTGTTCCATTTGTCGGAAAAAGAAGAGGAAAAGAAAGAGCGTTCAAAAACTCCAGACACCTCAAGACCAGGATCGTCGTCTCGTGTTGAGGTGAGTACGATTCCCATATACTTTGAAAAACGGAAAAGTACCTGAGAAAAAACAACGAATTTCAAGTGACTTTCTGTCTGAAACTAACTACTTTGTGTGAATATAACTGAAAAAATCCCGCAATTGCTTTGTCTCTGCTACACGTTCAGTTACATTCTAAAGAAACGATTTCCACGCGACAAATCTAGATATCTTTTATAAATCTGCTTTGGAGAAACCTCATTTCCCGAGAACAAAACACACTATGCTTTTTGGCGATGATAACACACATTTGTAATAATTCTCCAATCAAAGTCAAAGTTTCCGTTAAAAGTTCCTATGTTTAACTTCTCTTACAAAGGTCATGAACTCAGTTCTGTTTCTTAATCAAATTAGCTGGGACCTTTTAGATCTAATTGACTGAAATTTTCAATTCCAATCTATTTTTCAGTCGCCGTCCTCAGGCTCGTCGAAACATCATCATAAGAAGGAGAAAAAGGACAAGGAGCACAAGAAGCATAAGAAGGACAAAGAGCGGAGCCGTGAGGAGAAACAAGAACGAGAGGAGCGGAAGGAACGAGAGCTCCAGAAAGAGGAAGCAGCTCGGCATGAAATGTTAGTTTTCTTTTAAGCCAAAAGAGTGTTGTAGACGTCTGTGCTTTCCATGCATATATTGTCTATTCAAAATAATCGCGCGGGTGAACGAGTAAAAATGTCTGCGTCTCTACAGCGCCTATACAGGTTTGAAGACTCTCTACACGTTTTTTTACTCGTTCACCCGCGCGATTATTTTGAATAGACAATAGATATTTGATTCAGTAAAAGAGCCAAAACACGCGCTCTGAAAAAAAAACTCTGTGAAAATAATGCTACTGATTGCAAGAAGAATTAGAAACCTTTTATCATATCCCATATCATAAATCCTTAACTTTCGAATTTTTCAGAGAAGAAAAAGAACGTCGTGAAATGGAGTCACGCCTTAACGCTGAGGAAGAGGAGGAACGTCGCCGTGAGAAAGAACGCCGTCGCGCTGAACGCAAAGCTGAAAAGGAACGTCAAAAAGAGAAGGATCGTAATAAAGAAAAAGAAGAGCGACGTGAGCGCAAAGAGAAGGAACGAGAAGCTGAACGTGAGCGTGAACGTGAACGTGAACGAGAGAAGGAGCGTGAACGAAAAGCCGAGGAGGAAGCACGTAAACGGAAAGAAGAAGCTTCTGCACCTCCACCACCACCAACTCGTCAACTAATCTCGCAAACCGATGACGATTCCAATGAGTCGGAGAGCGATGACGAGGAGATTTGGATTTGTCCAGTGTGCTCTGTGGCTTACACTGATGGTGCAAACATGCGATCAGTGTCAGGATTGGTTCCATTGGTAAGTAGAGGGTAGCAAAATGTTGATCCTTTTTGCCTAGATTCTAGGATATGAATTCTTTCTAGTTCATCCTACATTTCACAACTTCACATGTTACTTTTTAGCCTTTTAGCCTTTTAGGAACTCCTTTTTTTCGAAAGTTTCATTTTTTTTCTCCGAATTTCCTTTATCTCACATCAGGAGGAATATGAACTATCCAAGTTTTTAAAAATTACTCTTTGAAGGAACAGACAGGTGCATTTCATATGAAGTTCACAATTCTGATTTTTTGACACGAAATACCTTTCTGCTTCACCTGTTCCAAATCCTTCTGTTGCTCAATACTTGCTAGGAAAATCAAAATTTTAAACAAGTTTTTCATAACATTTTCATCACATGGTGCGGCTAATCTTAATGAGCGGAAAAAGTTTTAAATAATAAACATTTTCAAATAAAACAAGTTTTCCAGGCATTGCGTTGGCATCACCGCCGAACCTACCGACTCCAAATGGTTCTGTAACCGATGCTCCAAAGGAAACAAGAGTAAAAAACATGGCAAGCGAGCTGGTGGTCCACACGATTCCGAATCGTCCGCTAAGCGGAAGAAGAACTGAAACTTTTTTTGACTTTTTTACCTTTTTTAAACATCACTTTCCCGAACTCTTTCAAATGTGTCACATTCCTCTTTTCTCCCCGTCATCTAGTCGTTTTCACATGTGATTTCTTCTACCCCTCTTTCTAAGTCATTAACGTTTTTTAAGAAGGTAGGACCAAATGAATGAGAATAACGGTTTCTATTATTTTCCTTCAACGGTCCGATTTTCTCAATCCTCCTATATCACTGAATAGTTTCTTTCCCTTCACTTTTTTTGAACTTCTCTGCTTTTTCATTCAAAAATAATGTTTCTTTCTGTAATTTTTTGTGCCCTGAATTTTTTTTAAAATCTGAAACTCCTTCACATTTCCCATCATACTATCTACTTCTACACCTTAACTAATAATCTCACATCTTCCCAAATTTATTATGCAAAGTCTATTTTTCATGTCACCCCTTTTCTCTCTAACGGAAAATCTTTATCAGTCGGTATTATCTAAATGATGAATTTTCACTATTCGCAGAAAACTCTGAATCCAATTCAGTTTTGTAGCCAATAGTCAATATTCACCGTTTTGATAATAATTTTTGATGTTTTTTTCATTTTTGCGCATGCACAATCTCTAATAAAGAGCTTTTTTGTGCAAAATAGTGTTTTTGCTGCGATTTTCAAAATTTTTTCATAAAAAGTTATTGGATTAGAAATGGGTTCAAGAAGTTTCCACTCTGAATTTTAGTCTTTAGAGTTTTATTTGGAATTTTGATGATTTATTAACAAAAGTACAATATGACTCCTGCGAATGAGTGTACATGAACTTTTGAAACTGAATTAATTGTTTAGAATCCAGAGATTTTGAAACTCTGACGTTTTTTGAAAATAAAATTCAATTTGCACAGAAAAATTATTTTTGGGAAAAAATCCAAATATTGTTTTATTCTTTTTTGCCTGCTAATTGAAATTTTGAGATAATTAGTCGATGTTTATTTGATTTCAAACATTTATCAACAAAAACCATTGATCATTTATCACCGATCAAAAGTCAAAGTTTACGTATCAACTAAACTTTTTCAGTGCGCCTGTCTGATGATACATTATCTCTCATAATGATGATCATCATCATCATCATTATCACCAGCACTAATCGATATGCGTTCTTTTCTGGTTTTGTGATGATGGAAACAGAAGAAAGAAAAGGCGATTCCTCAAACGACACGTCTTCTTCTCCTTTCGCTCCTCCCTATCTCGATTTTCTCTACCGGAGAGGGAAAAGAGAACTGTTGGAAAGGACCGAAAGAGGAATGTCATCAGTCGACCGCCAAACACCCATCATATGCCTAGTTTATCTGATTGTTCTATGGTTTGTTGAACTCGCAAATAAGTTATGATTGCTCATTTTCTTGAAATGTATTTACTGATTGAAAAATATGCCAAAACATCTGAAAACTGAGGACTTTTCGAACGTATACTATAATCGATGTGAAAACAAACCATGGTTTTTGGGGGACGCACTTTTTGCGGAAAAACAATACAAGGAAGCATTGAGTTGAAATTGGAAAAAAAAGACAGATACCAATCTGTAAATACGAAAAGTAGAAATTTAAAACAATCTAAAAAAGTTTTTATTAGTTGTTATATCTGTGAACATTTTTTGGAATTCTACCATTTTTGAGAATTTAAAGGGGGACTCCGACCAGAAATTTTTAGGATTTTCAGTGAGAAACCTAGGCCACGGCACCTGACAGCCTTTTTTTCAAGTCGCCGACAGTAGTTTTTTACGTTTTTTACCTGCCGGACATGAAATTGAAAAAAATCCGGAAAATTTGCCACATAGGAAAGGCGCCCGCTGCCATGGCCTAGGTTTTTCACTGAAAATCCTCGTCCCCCGGCGGCACCTTTTTTTGAATTTTCTTTCTTTTCAACGGCGTTTTTTGGGAATTTCGGATTTTTTTTTGAATTTTTTCGCAATAATATTCGGAAAATAGATAACTTTTAACACATTTTAATGCAATAAAAATTTTTGGTCGGAGTCCCCCTTTAATCGCTTCACTTGAAAAGTAATTTGAAAGTTGAGACTTTCTATATCTTATCTCAACAAGTCCATTTCTCCAAAATATATCATTTAATAGATAGGATAATGTTCTGATCTTTCAGTATCTTAGCTCTTTTATTGAGTTTTCGACATCGTTGTTTTTGTCAGTCGTTTTTTGTAATATAAATGTTTCGATGATTTTCAAATTTTGTATGTATAACTGCGCTTCTGTCGTCAACTTTCTTTTGTTTGCAACGTAAGACTGTTTCAATGAAGTCTCGTCTCTTTTTCTTCTCGTTTGTGGCGGCGCGCGCACGGGAGTTTCCCGCCTGAAAAACTAGTTCATGATCTTTTGAACTATTTTTTCTACTTATCGGGAAACTTTATCTTTTTCAAAATTAATATTTTGATCGAATTGGTATTTGTCAAGTTAACTGATTTCAGTGGACGTAGATCACAAATTAGTAAAAAAGTTGTTTTTGGTCATTAATACAATTTCGAACTTCTTTTTTTTAACCGAATCAAGTTTATGCGCTGGTTTCCGAATTCAGATTCTTGGTAGTGTACTCTTATTTCATGCGAGGGCGGCTAGACTTGTTTTCCGTTTTAGAATATCGCGAAAAAATTATCCCCCACCCGATTCAAATTAATGGAGACTGTCTGAAAACATATAAAAACTAGTTCCCACTAAATTTTTCTCTTTTTCGTCCTTCTTTTGTTTTTTCATCACACAGAACATTTTTCCTCGCAGCCGTTGCAATATGATCTTAGGATGAATTACTCAAAATGAGCTCATGATTTAGAACAGCTCCTGAAAACATTACGTTTTTAATAATCCTTCTTATGAATAGTCGTCTAATCTTTTCCTATTATGACACTAACTTTACAAAGGAAATTTCGTGTGGGAGTTAGTGTGCTAGGAAAGTCGAGAAAATTCTTTTGATATTTGGAAAATTAAATTTATATTTTGTTTCTTTGAAATTTGCTTCCGGTGACCGCTTGAATAGATTTACATCAATTTTCGGAAAAGTATTTTTTCAGGAATAACTTCAAACAGTTATATTTTTTCTGTTTAACCTCTGAACCTCATAAAACCTAGACAGATTGGTCTACCGAGTAGAAATATCACAATTTTTCTCGCTATTTTCTTCCTTCTAGTATTTGTTAATGTAAAACAGATTCCAAATTGGCCAACATACAGAAAGAGCAAGTACAGGAGTGAGAAACGAGAGAGTATGTTTGCGCCCTCCCCGCGAGCTCAATGAGCACCATCCAGTTTTCACTTTTCGAATTTTTGTACTTCCCCCTTCTTTTCCCTCTAAAATGCACTGTGTCTTATGTCTGTCTGTACAGGCGGAGAGTTGGGAGAGAGAAACAACACGAAGTAACTTTTACACGTGATTCTTCTTCTACTTCTTATTGTATTTGAAAAATTAAGTTACAGTTAGAGTTTGTGTTGTTATTGTGTAACCTTCTTGCAGTTTCTGTAGATACCAATAACCAAACCATAGGATGAGAAACAAATATTTAAATAAAAAAGTTTACATATTTTTTTGCTGAGCAATGACATCAAATTTCTGACAAAATAGGTATAAAATGAAAACATATTCTTGTTCTCTTTTTTTGTATTTCAATTTTTTCCTATAACTTCGTTCCGAGAACATTTTTCCAAGAACCAATTTTTCATTTGCAATGACACCTGGTGAATATTTGTTAATAAATTAATTCTCAGTTCTGAGTGTGATTTGTGCCTGCAAAATGGGAAAGTATAGGTGCCAAGGATTAAGTTCAGAAAACATCATTTTTCATGTTTATTTTCATTTTTTCAAATGGTATATGATCTTTAAAAGAAGAAGTAAATACTTAATTGTCATCATGAAAACTATTGAAACATGATTGGCCTATTCATCATGATCATCGTCATTCCGAAAAATGAATCGTTTGATTTTTTTTTGTTACACCCCTAGTTTTCACTTTATCAAACTTTTGTCTTTTCCTCTCTCTCTCTCTCATTTTTTCTCTGTTTCCCCGTTTTTATTGATCGGTAAGTAAGCCTGAACTTACATTATATTTGTTTTTACTGATGAGAACTTTATTGAATCAATTTGGAACATAATACGTGTGAAAAAACTAATTGAATGAAAAATCGATGAACACCGAGTTTTCCCTCCAACATATGTCACCAGAGCAAACAAAAACTCTTGGCAAAAACCCAAAGTCTCGAGAACTAACTTTTCGGTCATTCTACAGTTATTTCTCACTTCTCACTTTTTCCATCCTCATTCTCTACTTATAATCAGATCCCAGATTATTCCATCTCACGCACTTTTTTACTCTCAATTCTCGCCTATAACTTTGTTCCAGTTTTCGTTTCTACCAATATTATTTTCACATTTTCAGATTCAATGATAATTGGTAAAAAGCCGTGCAGTGTGTGCGGCGAAGCTGGCGATGGAGCACATTTTGGAGCTGAAGCGTGCAGGTTGGTTTTTTTTCTTTGAAATAACGCATCATTAGAAATCCGATTTTCCAGAGCCTGTGCTGCATTTTTTCGTCGAAGTGTCGCTCTTAACAAAGCATACGTTTGTCGAGCTATGGGGGCCTGCATTATTCAAAAAAGTATGTTTTTATGATTTAACAGCTGATTCAAAAATATTGTCTCGACACGAACCACATAGTCTTTGAAAATCCGTTTGTTATTCTTCTCCAAATTTCCCCATATTATTCTAATTATTCAAAGATGACAAATAAAGATTATCCTCCCCCAACCAGTAATCGGAGAACTTGAACTTTTCCTTCGCCGCCCCCACGTCGCCATAAACACTCCAGTCATATGACACAGTTCCATTTTTCAGATGTTCGATGTATGTGCCGCGCATGTCGTTTTTCAAAGTGTATGTCTGTCGGCATGCGAAAATCAGGTGTGTTTTGATTGAAAACAGAAATTGGACAGCTACAAGGCTAGACTTTAAAATTCAACAAAACTGTGTTTTTCAGCTGTCCAACGCCATCGTGAACTATTTGGTAGACAAGATTCTTCCGATGGATCGAACCCGAGAGTCTCGCCGAGCACCAGTTGGCCGATGGATGTCTCTCCAGTGAACATTGAAGAACCAGGAATGGCAACATTGAACTGTCTAAACGAGAATTATACACATATGAGTAACGTGAGACGCGTGATACACAACACTGGAAGCGGTAACATATTCAATGTTAGTTTTTCGTCTTTATCTTTTGTCATCTAAATGGGTTTTTCAGCCTCGAGAACCGAAAGCGGTGGCCTACACTGACGCGCATTCTGTTCATTTGAAAGAAATTGGACTCGTTGCTGATTGGATAATCAAATCGTATCCAGATTTTCAGAAAGTGCACCAAGAACAGAAGGTGAGGGATTTCCGATCATTTTTTACATCGTTCTATTTTTAGAAACTACTCTACCGAAATTTCTTTCTACCATTCATGATTCTGGAGTGCGGTTATCACTGTTGCCTAAACGACAGAACGGATATACTGTTCTTGCCGTCTGGGGACTTTATCGACTGCAGTCGACCGGAAACGTTTTATGGTAGTCACATCAACTCGCACTTGATGAGTCCGGAGGAAGCTATTAGGTATGGTCAAAACACAAAACTCAATTTTTTAAGTTTATGACGCTACAATAGTAGACATATTTCGCTGAGAATAGAGTTGAAGGTTTGTCAAACAGAAAGAGAAATGAAAGAAAGATGTGAAACCTTTTCAGTTTTGTAAAAAATTAGATAAGCATTTCAAGAAAAGGAGAACATTATTTTCGAATGATGACACTCAACAAATCATCAGCGCCCTAACCCAACCTCAGTACTCCCTAACCTGAAATACGTTTTTCAGAATGTTCGTGCCATCCTTCGAAATCTACAGACGCAACGTGCTAGACCCAATGCGTCGTGAAAAAGTGGATAATTATGAGTTCTTCACCTTATGCTCTTTAGTTCTTTGGGACCATGGCCTAGAAGGACAAATCGATGAATGTGTCAATATGGCTCGTCATAATCGGGAACGAATCCTTCGTGAAATCCTTTACTACTACAGACGAGTTAAGCAGATCCCCGACCCATCCATGAGACTTGCAAACCTCTTGGTGTTGTTGCCAGCTCTTCAGGTAGATAGATATTTTGCAACTGCATTCATACGATGTTTGTTTCCGTTTCAGAGATCTGTACGAAGGTTTCAGGAGGACGTTGAAATCACACATGTTTTTAATGTGTACTCGGTAGAAGAGACATTCTACGAGTTGGTGAGTGGAAGATTATCTGATGGTTTCTTCCAAAAAGCAACACAATTGGATGCAACTCCAGAAGAGATGAAGGAGATCAAAAAAGAAGTGGAATGTGTTTGGTGAGTTTTTTCTCTCTTAATCTCAAAGATTCGAAAAAATAGTTTCTTAATTTCAGGGATCTGAATACCAGTCAAGTGGTCGATTTGTATGATCTTCCTCCAACTTCGTTTCTCACTCCAACCAGTTCAACTCCGTCGTCTACTGAAATGTAAATATCTTTCTGTGAACTGCACTTGTCTTCTGCCATATCCTTCGGTAAAATTCCCTCTTACAAAAACTCAAAATGTTCCATTGTACCAAAACGGTTATTTTCCTAGCTTTAAAAATTTGTGTAGTTGTATGCTAAAACTGTTGAACTGTACTCGTATAAAGTTCAAATTATTATTGTTTTTCAAACAGTTGAAGTATCCCCTTTATTGTTAGTTTTCTGACATGAATCTCTTTTTGATAATTTCTTGCACTCAGGATACCATAACTAATCAAAATCGTACTTGTGGTCTGCAAAAGAAACTAAGAGCACGAGTAACACCTGTTGATGGGACTCATTTCACTTTTTCTTCCAACAAAACAAAACGAAATATATAAGAAAAGGAAGGAAAAAAAGAAGATACGAAAAAGCGGGTGCGATTTTTTGAGTGATAGATTGATGTGCAGATACAAAAGAACAGATAGAAATTAGTTAGCTTTTTTCGCAGACGATTGATCAAGGGATGAGGACCAGCTTCTTCCTCAAAAATACTGGGGCCACTTGATAGACGCTGGAGCCTCCGGGCGGGCCCAGGCAACTGTCATGCTCCCTGCGCCACCGATTGGGAAACTCTCGACAAAAAGGACGCAAAAAAAAGAGAAAGCATGACGCAAGCAACCTGGAAGAATGGTTATCTCGTGGTGGCTCCCGTCCTTTTCTTTCAATCTTTCACTTCTTCTTTTATCTCTTCAAACGTAATTGTTCTGACTTGTCAGATCATCATTTGAGCTGTTAAAGATAGGTACGTGTCGTTCAAAACCCAATACTGCTGCCACTGACTTGCTCATTGCGTCAAGTATCAACAAACGATCGGAAAACACTGACGGGAGGGCAAAAAAGAGCTGTAAAGTTAAGAAATCAGGTGTCCGGAGGTTTCGACTCGTTATTACTCGTCACAATCATTTGGTACGAACACTTAGTGACATGTTTGCTTTGATAGCCAGCTGGGTCATTTTGAAATATTTTTAGACTATGTTCTTCAAACTAAGTATTCAACCTAGAATGCCTGTTCTTAAGAACCTGATGACTTGTCTACAGAATAATAAAGCTTGCGAAGCTTTCAGTGCTAGTTTGGAATTTTTGAAGTTTTTGAATCATTATTTGTGTGTAGATTTGTGAATCGTTCAGAATACCATTCAAACTATTATTTTCAAATTACAAACCTTGATAATGTTAATCAGATTGCTTTTGTTTAAGTTTACTATTTTCCTAAAAAATTCAGGATCAACTACAGAAAATACAAAATAGTTCACAGCAAAAAACTTCTGAAAAATTGTTGATTTCAGAGATTTCGTTACATTGGGATATTTCAAATTCAATAACTTTTCCAAAAATAACTTATTTGACCATTCCCATTGTTGCCGAAATCTCACGATGCATTTTTTAAAACGTTCCATTGTTTCAAACTATTCAGAAAACATTTTTTAAACTAATCAATTACCATTAAATTTTCAAATTGTTTGCCTTGACAATACCAATCAGCAAATTGTGTCCAATTAGACGCAGTATTTTATCAATTGATGATAAAAAACACAAGTAACCTGTTTCACATCTTGGTCATGTCTTTTGAAGACTTTTTCAAAAAAAGTATACAAGTGTAGGCACAAGCAAAAAATCTGTCTACCTCATTTTCCCCATTATTCCATTAATTTATTGTCGGGCCCTCTAATTTGTTTTTTCAAGGGACAGGGCAGAACAAGTGTTTCCTCCCGTTCTGGAACTTTTCTCACTCTTTTTTGGGTCCCTCATTTCCGGTGCCATCTTTCTCTTATCCCAATTGATAATACCGGAAATTGGATATTCTAATTCTGTCCACCCCGCTCTTTAAAGCTGTTTTCCAGCCTCCAAGTTCTGACCGCTCTGTCTTCATCCCTATCAATTTCCACTCGTTTTTCTGTTTATCCTGTCGTGAAACTTCTCAGCTTACACACACCAGGACCCTCTTGAAGACAAGCTAAACGACAAGATGTCGAGTCTTTTAATCACAAAAAAAACCCCAAGGAAGATGGATAGAAATGAAGGCAAAGACTGATAGATCCCATAGAGTTTTGAAAGAAAAGTGAAGAGAAATTAGAAGATTTGGAGAGAGCAAAGAGAGGGGACCACAACTGTTCTACAACATATACAACGAAATGTGGTTGGCAAGAGCCCGGACGTGTGTGCTTGATCTGTTCTTCTTTTATTATCTTTATTTCCGAAATGTACTCCTATCACTTTCAAATTCTCTTTTGACTTTTATCTCATCCGCTTCTCTGAGAGCCAAAGATGCTAGCGTGCAAATCAACTACTCGCCAATGAAATATGGCCAAATTAAAAATAACTTCAGTTTTTTTAAGTGTAGAAACGTTCGTCACGACCTTTAAACTGAAAACGTTGCCCCATCAATAGGGTGACAGAAACAGTGAAAAAAAACTACGTGACTAGACATATCACGTTTCGGGTACCTTTTCTTATCTACTACTTTTTTCACAACTGATAGTCCCCTCTTTATCAATCTCCGTCCCCGCTAGTGGTCTTGTCACTCGGGGCTCCCGGGAAGAAGAAGAAGAAGAAGAAAGCAAGAAGAAACTACTTTTTTCTTCTTTTTCTTTCTCTCCCATCACACAATAATATCTATCTTCACTGATCTCTACTTTTTTCTCATGATCCAAATCACATCATCTTCATACATTCGACTGTTCTATTCCGTCCAACCATATGGATCATGAGAATCGGAGGAACGATCTCTTCAATTTTATGATATTTTTATGCTCACATTTCTGCCGTTTCATCATTCTCCGATTTTGAGGAAAGCAGAAATAAAGTGGAGGAGATAAAGAGTCATAAAAGAGTCTTCTTCCGTGGAGTTTGAACCAGAAAAATAGATGGCTGTTGTATTGATTAGATTTATTGTGATGCATTTTCTGAACCGTTAAAGCTTTTCATTTTGAAGTTAATCTGATTTCATTAAATGTTATTTTTGAGATTATCTGCCAATTTTTCACCAAATTTACAAGTTGTAGCTGATTATCGCTTCAATTTCCTCTACCGTATTTTTTCCATGTTTTTTCTAATAAACCCATTTCTGATAAGAGCACACCGTTCGACGTGCTGAAAAACATAGAATTGCTCCCTCTTTAATAAAATCTTGCAACTAGGAAGTGTAGTTCATACAATGCAGTACGTCTACTCGGTTCGTCCAGACATTTTCTTTCTTTTTAAAAATTTTCTGGTAATTTCCTGAAAACGGTATTAAGAAATACATGCCCATTGGCCTCAATTAGGGAAATAACGGTAATTGTTAAAACGCAAAAAACCAGAAAATCACTTTTTTTCAAAATTTATTTCAAAAAAGTGTTCTTAGAGTCAGACTTCTTTTTACTCGAATTTTTCAGTGAATTTGTATTCAGCGACATGTTTAATCATATGAATTGTCAGTCTGAACGTTGTTAGTCTTTTCAAGTGAAAAAGAGCCCAAACAGGATTTTTTAAACATCTGTGATTAAGATATTGATAAATTGTAATAGCAGCGAATGTGTTATTTTTCCAGATGACAATTTTTAGCCAGCAAATTTTACCGGTTGTAGCATATTTTCATAATAACCAGTTTCTTTTTGCTGCCTGACTTATCTCTTCCCATTGGAAAAAAAACGTGTTCACAACATTCCATTCCTCCAATCATTCCGACCCCAAAACCATTGCTCATTTATCACTCGTTCTTGTTTCCCCCCTCCTCAACCAAACTCTTCCTAACACTCTCCACCGCTCAGCACACGATCTAACGTTTTCCGGCGGTAGTGACATTCCGATTGAGATCAGTTGGATGAAATATGAGAAATCGAATGGTGCCCCCATGATATGTATTTACAACACAAAGGTTAAGAGGGAGAAACTTGTAACTTTGAAACTGATTTTGAGAATGTCATAGAATGAATAAGTTCATAACTTTTCAAAATACGAAAAATGAAATCTAATATTTCGAACTCTTTCTACTGTACCGTTTCGAACATGAGTTCTTCTCAACCATCACGTGCCTTTCGAGCAGCACTTGCATATTTTGTTTCGAAACGGTTATCAAAATCAGTGTCTGGTTTAGCTCGTATGTTTGCAGGTATACCTCCGCTCAATGGCGGATAGATAGATCAAAAGTGTTGTGCACACATGTAAACTCTCCTTCGACTTTATCCACGCTCTCTTGTTCCACAATTTTTCTATTGTTCACTTTTTAAATTTTCCTGCCCACCAACTATTTTGAGTAGGTCAAAATATTCAGTCTCGGTCGCAATTACATGGAGCCCATAATGCTTTTTCTCTTCGTAAAAGGTTTTTTTTTATTCTATCGGCTCGTTTTGCGGGAGTTAATGGCCCGGAAGATATTCTGGATGCAAAGAATGGAAAAGAAAGGTTCGAATGCTCTAAGAAAAAGAAGGTTATGACGTGGATATGTTGAAAATCAACCCATTTTTATGATATTCCTTCCTTCATTCTTCACCTCATATTTTTATGACCCCTTCTATTTTCATATTTTTCCTTCTCTCACGTTGTCTTCTTCTGTCACCATCGTTTCAGTTTATCCGCAATTCCAGATGGTCGAAATGGACCATTAGGATTATAAAATGTGACTTGTCGCCTACTCCACATGTGCCGAAACTTTCAACTTTTGTTTATATTTTCAGATTTCTAGTATATACACACACTACTAATAAAATTGCTCCTGGGTCTCCCAAAGCCATCTCGGCGGTCCGACGATTATGATTTGCTGAAGAAGCATGCGATATTCCCTATTATTTTTCATTTTTCTGCCCTGTGTAAGTTGATATTCTAAAAGTTCTATTATGAAATGTAAGATTCATCCAAGTTTCAGGTGATAACTGCTGTTGATCTCATACACCTTCATGATGGCTCACCGTTATTTGGCGAGGAAGTACTATCTCAGACTGGAAAACCGCTCACGAGGTTTCTAGGCATTCCATTTGCAGAACCACCCATAGGAAACCTGAGGTATCCATACTAAAACTGTTACAAAAGTAATCGAGCTTTCAATTTCGTAGATTTCGAAAACCAAAACCCAAACAACCATGGCGAATTCCATTCAATGCAACCACTCCGCCGAACAGTTGCATTCAAAGTGAAGACACCTACTTTGGAGATTTCTATGGATCGACCATGTGGAATCCGAACACGAAACTTTCCGAAGACTGTTTGTATCTAAACGTGTACGTGCCTGGAAAAGTTGATCCAAACAAAAAGCTAGCGGTGATGATTTGGGTGTATGGAGGTGGATTTTGGTCTGGTACATCAACGCTGGATGTCTATGATGGAAGGATATTAACGGTGTAAGCGACGTTTTAGAAGTCACAGCTCAAGCTAGTATTTTTAACAAAAAAGTTACATTCCAGGGAAGAAAACGTCATTTTGGTTGCCATGAACTACCGTGTTTCAATTTTCGGGTTTCTCTACATGAATCGATCTGAAGCACCCGGCAACATGGGAATGTGGGATCAACTATTGGCTATGAAATGGGTCCACAAGAATATTGACCTTTTCGGTGGTGATACGAGCAGGATAACACTTTTTGGAGAATCAGCAGGTGCTGCGTCAGTCAGCATTCATATGTTAAGCCAGAAAAGTGCACCGTACTTTCATGTGAGTTTGTTCTCATAGTTTCATAAAATTCTGGCACAAGTGTTTTTGAAATCTATCACATTTTGAAGTGAACACAAATAGACATTTCTAGCGAGCTATCATTCAATCTGGCTCAGCAACCTCACCATGGGCAATTGAGCCACGAGATGTTGCTCTGGCAAGAGCGGTGATCCTCTACAATGCGATGAAATGCGGAAATATGTCACTTATAAGTCCTGACTACGATCGAATATTGGATTGCTTCCAGAGAGCAGACGCGGACGCATTACGGTTAACTAGTGAAAACAAGAAAATTTTCAAATCCCAAATTTACAGTGAAAATGAGTGGGCACCTGTTCGTGAATTCGGGGATTTTCCTTGGGTGCCAGTGGTTGATGGTGATTTCTTGCTCGAAAATGCGCAAACGTCTCTCAAACAAGGAAACTTCAAGAAAACTCAACTCTTGGCTGGAAGCAATCGAGATGAGAGTATCTACTTTTTAACTTACCAGCTTCCGGACATTTTCCCTGTTGCTGACTTTTTCTCCAAGTCGGAATTCATCAAAGATCGACAAACATGGATCAAAGGAGTTAAAGATCTTCTGCCGAGACAGATTTTGAAATGTCAGCTTACGCTGGCTGCGGTACTGCATGAATATGAACCACAAGATCTACCGATTTCGGCTCAAAACTGGTTGAATGCAATGGATAAGATGCTCGGAGACTATCATTTCACATGTAGTGTGAATGAAATGGCATTGGCACACACAAAACATGGTGGCGATACTTTTTACTACTATTTCACACATAGGTGAGTTTTTATCAAATTATGGCATTGTTCTTGAATACTAAAAAGTGTAAAGTGAATTTATGAACACAAGTTTGTATTTTCTATATCTTCAAATTTTTATCACTTCAGAGCTACCCAACAAACTTGGCCAGAATGGATGGGTGTCCTGCACGGTTATGAGATTAACTTCATTTTTGGAGAACCATTTAATCAAAAACGATTCAACTATACGGACGAAGAAAGAGAGTTGAGCAATCGGTTTATGAGATACTGGGCGAACTTTGCAAAAACTGGGTGAGACTTTTTGAATCTTACAACATCAATATGACAAATTTTATACTGAAGTTTTCAGAGACCCCAACAAAAACGAAGACGGCTCCTTCACTCAGGACATTTGGCCGAAATATAACTCGGTGTCTATGGAATATATGAATATGACTGTTGAGTCTTCATATCCAGGCCAAAACCGGATAGGGCACGGTCCGCGGAGAAAAGAATGCGCATTCTGGAAAGCATACTTGCCGAATTTGATGGCTGCAGTAGGTACGTAGCGTTTTGAAACTTATTGTAATTTTTAAATATCTATTTTCTAGCGGATGTTGGAGATCCCTACTTGGTTTGGAAACAACAAATGGATAAATGGCAAAACGAGTACATTACCGATTGGCAGTATCATTTTGAACAATATAAACGGTTGAAAATGAAGCAGAAGAATTAAAGTGACGAATACTATTTTTTCAGATACCAAACATATAGGCAATCTGATAGCGAAACTTGCGGCGGATAAATATAGACAGAACGACTCTTTCTGTCAACAAGTTTCTCTTTTCCTTTTCCGTATTTTCGATTCCTCATATTTGACTTTTCCTTGAGTCACCCTGTCAATGTCCCCCCACTTCCTATTCCTTGATTCAACATTCCGCATATTCAAATTCTCTGTAGGTGAATAACCAGAACCCCGCCTTTGTTCATTTTTCTTTTTTACCTGTTTTTGGTCACTAATGAGCTTAGATTAAAAAAAATAATACTGGTTAGTGTACTTGTGGTGGCAATGGATGTTCCAAAAACTACAGTCAATTCTTCCCTTCAGCAACAAGTACAACTTCTCCTCTATTTTCTCCTTAGCCATCTCTCTTCTCTGTTTCACCTATCTAACTCACACCTTGTACATTTTTTTTGATTGAAAACAATTGCCATTTGTGATGTGATTTCGGACGAAGATTCCTCCCAAATTTTCTTTGTGTCCACTATTACAACACTAGATTTTATGAACGTCTCTCAAAACAAAAACACTTCAAAACCTTATTAAAATAAAAAATTTTAAATTTTTAAAAATTTCTTCCTCCAATCCAATCAAAACGAATGCTAGCGATGGTTTTGGAATTTATTCATTGACATTCAAACACACGTATCCCTTTTTTTAGTTTCAAAAAAAGAATACTGTACGAATACGGTTGCTGATAACGTCAGGTGATAAAACAAAAGTTCCCTTTGGCATGATACAAAATAATTATCGAAGGCTTTAGAATCTAGCCATCAGAATGAAGCCATCAAACAGGAAAATACATTAAACAATGTTTTCGGTATAATATTATGAATTTTTTCAGCTACTTCATTCTGGTTTTCAACATACTTGTAAAATTCCGGGCCGGCCTGAGCCCGATCAGAAAACGTCGAAAAAACTCGAAAAAATTTTTTGATCGACAAAAAAAACACATAAGGGCCCCCCCCTTATGAGTTTTTTGAAATTTAAAAACAACTTGTAAAATGACGGGCCTCCGAAGTTCGGAAAAAAGCCCGGCCGGCCCGTTACAAGTATGGTTTTCAATGAATTGTTGATTAATTAAAAATCGGCACAAGAAATGATAATATAAAAAGCAGACACTAGTCCTTATACAAAGTAAAAAATTCCCCACGAAAACGGCCGCTGAAAACAAGAGAGTTGACCAGCGTACAGAATTACTGCAATATCAGAACTTCTTAAGATGCAGTCAGACTTTTAAACCGTCCTAACCTTTCTCATCCTTTATTACAACGCTTGATGTAATAGTTTTTTCGTTTCGTATTCTTTCGAACACTCATTTTACCGGCATCGATGTTTTCCAGCCAAAATTAATGACGATTCGCGTTCCACTAGACAAAAATGCTAGTTTTCTCCTGTTTTCTCTTTCAGATCTGTTTTTTTTTGCGTGCAAAAAACGTTGTTTTCTTCCCCAAAAAATAATCAAAAAATCAAATGTCATTCTATTCCTGGAGCATATCTGTTTGTTCCTGTCAAAATTTCGTTTTTTCGCACGTTTTTTCTTCCTTGTTCCCTCGACTAGCATGTTGGTCGTCCCATTCAAACTAATCAATTAAAAAAAAACTTGGACTATAAAAAATGTCATATTAGTTTCTTTTGTCGTACTTTCCCAGTATTTCGTTATCAGTTTTATGGTGAATACCGTCGAGGTTCACTTCGCAATTTCGTTTTTTCATAGTGGTATATTTCTGCCTCTCAATTGAGATGAAATTTTATTCGGAAATTGTGAAATTTCTTGTTTTTTTTGGCGCATCTTCCTTTAGAGATCCGGCAGCTCTCCTTGACCGCGTATTAGCCGTGGAGCGCACTTCAATGCCATGGCCGGGAAGAGGGGGACTAGCGTCCGCCTCGATGGCCGAGTGTGTCCCCGCTACTCGTCCACCACCATTTCTTTGTCAATTTATTGTTTTTTGTTTCTTTTTCAGAAACTTCTCTGGTTTTTAATAAGCAACAGTTCGACAAATTTTCGTTTTTATAACTATTCGAAAACAATAAAAGTACATATTGCAGGTACTTAACCAAAAAGAAACCAAATTCACAGCCTGCTACTAAAATGGATACTGCTGACGCCACTCGCGGACTTCTCAACAATCGGGAACTGGTTGGATCTAGTCTTTATGTGAGGAACGATGATCCAGAAGCTAATCGAGAAAGATTTCTTCGATTCTTGGGCCTCCTTTTGTTGTTGCTCGGCATGACAGAGGTGGGTGTCGTTATCGCCCATTGCAAAAATCAATAAAACCGTTTCAGTACGTCTTTGGCATCATGGTTCACTCGCCGATGCTCAGTATTCAATTTGCCGGATCAGTTTTAGCTGTCGCGAGTGCTCTTGAGCTGACTCACTACCCAAATGTGAGATACTTGCAAAGCCATCAAGCCATCAACCTTCTTTTCAGGTGAGTTTTATAAGTTTTTGAATTAGTATGAGATGAAAAAATGGTTCAGAACATTCGGCACCATCTTCTACATCGCCTGCATGTTCCTCAATCTGACTCATTGTTTGGAGGATATTAGTGACATCAAAAGCTCGGAGCATTCTCACGACGTGAACGAAACTGAAAACTCTGCACACTCTCACGGACCTGATTTAGCAGGTGAGATAGAAATTCAGGATTTTTTGCTGTAAAAGCGCTGCTGATGGGTGGTAAAAGTTGTGAGCTGACAATTTTCTATTATCGCTAAAAAAGTCGAGTTTGAAATTGAATGTGATAGTTTGAACAAGTAGTTCAGTCATTTTTTTCTTTCTGATTATTCCAAACATTGCGTTTAGTGATTTCTCGCAAACATTGATTCGTCGCAGTAATTCTATCAAAATTTCACAGTTTTGTTTTCTAATAAGTTCTACTATGATAGCGGCTTAATATAATTCTAAGAATAAAACTGTGACTAGCCAGGTCTATGCAAACCTAGGAATCCTTACGCAACTCATTTGTTTGCAGTAAACGTCTTCTACATCACCATCGCCGACGTTATTGTCAAGTCAGTTTTCACTCTGGTCTACAACCCATTGTCAATTCATTTTATTGGAAACTTCGTAGTCCTTGTTTCGCCCCCAGCCATCGCCATTGCACTGTACTTTTACAACAAATTAGAACTTCACTTTTTCTTCGATTGGCTCGACCATCATTTGGAGCCAGTGACTGCGATCGCTTTGACGTTGATTTGCATCGTAATCGCCGTTTTTTCTTGTAAGTTTTGCATGATACAGTTTAAAGAACTTTGATTTCCAGTGCATCGCAAGAAGCAATACTTGTTGGCAGAAGGACCGAAAAATTTCAAAATCGACGAGATTAGTGAATCGGTAAAGACAAAGAACTCGAGTTTGGACAAAGTTGATCATGTGCATGCAAGTTGTGTCTGGCCAGATGGTTTCACAGTTTCGTTGAAAGCTTATATAAAGGTGAGATTTGGTTTTGAAAAAATCCTATTAATGTTTATGATGCCTGTTTCCATCACGGCGTAACCACCAGGAAATAAATTACACCTTTATTACTCTTTTTTTAAATTCGAACTCGCTAACCGAGTATATAGTTTTCTGGATGCATTCACAATCAACATCTAAAGCTCTATAAATAAGCGTGAAGACTTCAAGAATTGATTGGTTTTTAACAACCTCTTTTTTTCCTTGTTCCACTTATTTCAAAACTTCTGTATGAAAGGCTAGTCTGAGCCGACCGCGCGGCTCTATTTGTTCTGAAGCCGTAGCCGGTTCAACCGTAAACAAAAAAAACCAGCCGTTTCACAGATATGGTTTCGAGTATTTTATCTTAGCATAATATTGACTGAAATGAATTCTGAAGTTTAAAAAACCGCTAACCACATATTGCTAGTTTCGATTTGCAGGTTGAGAAGAACAACAAGAACTGGGTCGCACAAGCTGCTGATGACTTCTTGAATCTCAAAAGTCTTCTTCACACCGAGATCAAAGCCAAGGGTGCTAAGGATGTGAGTTTTAAAACAGGCGGCGGATGAATAAGTGGGAGAAGTGCTGTCAAGAAAGATAATTGAGCAAGAGATCGCTCCGATCGGAAGAAGCAGTGTAAAAATATAAATGATGGACAATTTATTGACACCAAAGAACTCAGAACTCAACAATCAAATAATTCCGTTTTTCAGGTTATTGTCGAGCCAGTTTTTGTGGATCAAAACGAGCTCAACCCCGCTTCCGATCCGATTTGCATTTCAACCAGTTGTCACAATGAAGACGTAGGTTGCTGTACAATTCCAAAGACTGCTGACAAAGCCTAAGCCCCTTCGTGGCACATTTGCAATTTAATCTTGTATGTAAAACGCTTTTCTACCAATTCTCTTCACACAACACTTTGAAAATCATTATCATTCCCCACTTGCGGTTTACTTTGAAATGTGCAATTCCATCATCTCCAAACCTGTTCCCTCCCCCAATGTGTTACTTTAATTTGTCTACATTTGAACCTAATCGGTGTCTTTTGCATTTATTCTGTATATGCGTGTTTATCTCGAAAACTTTCAGATACCAACTTTTGAAAATAAATCATTTTATTGGGTTTTGTGAATGAGTTTTTCGAAAGCGAAAATTTTCAAATAGATTATGATTTTACAAAACAAACAAAGAAGAGATTAGCGGATAAGGGCGGGGCAGTATGATTTTTGTGTTTTTTTTTTAAATTGGATTGTGTCTTGAAATGGGGCTTGCTTAAAAAAGGGGTTGTACATCACAAAGATGGAGGGATGGCAGGGAGTATAGAAAAGTGCTTTAATTGTTTTTTCTAGACAATGTTATATTAGTGGAGAACAGAAAAACAAATGAAAAAGAACATTGTATTAGAAGAAAAAAATTGAGAAGAAAATATTGGCACATTATGAGTGTGATAATTAAAGAAAAATTGCAACATGTAATGTCTAAGTAAAGTGAGTAGGCACTTAATAACGTCCGTCGGTGGATTTGACACAGACTTGGCATCTGGAGACGCGGGTGCGGAGATTTCCTGACTTGAGTGTTTGACTCTCCGGTACCTGAAATTGGATGAGGTAATTTTTTATTTATTTTTGAAGTTCAAGTTAAATACACTTACCTTGAACTCAGAGTCATTATCAATGGTGGTGAGCCAGAATGAGAACTTGTTGGCAAAGTAGTGGCAAGATCCACGTGCTCCGTTGCACTCGATGAATGGAGTGGCACGGAAGTCTTCCAAGCAGGATCCTGGAGAGGAAAGCGATTGACCCCCTCCCTCGGCTCCGGCTCCGGTGTGCATGGCGAACGAGTAACCGATCCACAAGCTGCTCCATCCGGCTGGACAGTTTGGAATTTGGATGGTCTGCGAGTGGACAGCGATGACGTTGGCTGGAGCTTCGCAGACGGCACAACGAGAGATGTATGGCTCGATTTCACGCTCGTTGACTGGCATCATTGGGATGGCTTCAGATGTGGAGAGCCAGTAGGACTTGTCGTTTCTGGAGGCGTAGTTGCATACGTTGTTGAAGTCGCAGAACAAGAACGGCATGGTGGAGAAGCGTTGAAGGCAAGATCCCGCGTGTCCTGAAATAAAACGAAAATAAGAAGAATTAAAGTTTCATTGTTGTCTAGTTGATCTACAGAACATAAGAAAAACTTACCAAGGTCTTGGTTGTGGGATTTCTCGTTTCCTTCAATGTACAACAAGGAATATCCGTCCCAAAGCTTGGTTTGACCCTCTGGACATCTTGGAACTTCGGTGGTTTGCGAATGCTTGACAAGTACGAATCCGTCTCTGTAGGCTGGTCCAGCTGCTCCTGGGGCACCTGGAAGTCCTGGTGCTCCTGGTCCTCCTGGGAGTCCGTCAAGCCCTGGGAATCCTGGAAGTCCTCCCATTCCCTTCTCTCCTGGAAGTCCTGGAGCTCCTGGGTATCCGTCGTTCCCGCGTTGTCCTGGAAGTCCTGGTGGTCCGTCGTTTCCTGGTGGTCCGTCAAGTCCTGGCATGCCCTTTTCTCCGCGAAGTCCTGGAGCTCCTGGAAGTCCTGGAAGTCCCTTCTCTCCTGGCTCAACGAGATTTTGTGGTCCTGGTGGTCCTGGTGGTCCTTGTGGTCCGTCGGATCCTGGGAGTCCGTCTCTTCCAGGAAGTCCTGGAAGACCTCCGTCTCCCTTTTCTCCGGCGTATCCTGGAGCTCCTGGTGATCCTGGGAAGCCTGGTTCTCCCTTGGCTCCTGGGAAACCTGGAAGGCCTCCTTCTCCTTTGATTCCTGGAAGTCCTGGGAATCCTGGTTGTCCTGGAAGTCCAGCTCCTCCGATTTCTCCCTTGAGTCCTGGTGCTCCTGGCTGTCCGTCTCTTCCTGGCACTCCTGGAAGTCCATCATCTCCGCGCTTTCCTGGAATTCCGTTTGCTCCTGGGTCTCCTTTAGCTCCTGGGAATCCTGGGAGTCCAGCGTCTCCTGAAATTTCAAGTCTTATTAATCTGATCTGCCTATTCACAGGTATTACCCTTTAGTCCTGGGGCTCCTGGAAGTCCGTTGAGTCCAGACTCTCCCTTTTGTCCTGGCAGTCCTGGGAATCCGTCTTTTCCTTGGAGTCCTGGAGCTCCTGATGGTCCGACTGGTCCAGGGATCGATTGTCCTGGCTGTCCTGGAAGTCCTGGAAGTCCTCCCATTCCCTTCTCTCCAGAAAGTCCTGGAAGTCCTTCTTGACCTGGCTGTCCTGGATATCCAGATTCTCCCTATAAGTTACATCCTAGTATTATCACAAAATTAACAACTATACCTTGAGTCCTGGAATTCCTGGAAGTCCATCCTGTCCTGGGTATCCTGGGGCTCCCTTAAGTCCTGGGAATCCTGGAGTTCCGGCGAATCCTTTCTCTCCCGCAAGTCCTGGAAGTCCTGGCTGTCCTGGATATCCATTTTCTCCCTTCTGTCCTGGGAATCCGTCCATTCCACGATCTCCTGGAATTCCTGGCAGTCCCGATTGTCCCTTGTCTCCGCGAATTCCAGGCACTCCTGGTTGTCCATCAAGTCCTGGGGCTCCTGGGAGTCCTGGTTGTCCGGAATCCCCAAGGTCTCCTTTCATTCCTGGAACTCCTGGGAGTCCATCGCGTCCTGGAAGTCCGTCTTGTCCTGGGTATCCGGCTTCTCCCTTCATTCCTGGGAATCCTGGAAGTCCATCTTGTCCTGGCGATCCTGGTGCTCCTTGGCGCCCAGCCTTTCCTGGAATTCCTGGAAGTCCCTTTTCTCCTGGAAGTCCTGGTTGTCCATATCCTGGAAGTCCAGCGTCTCCCTTGATTCCTGGTACTCCTGGAAGTCCGGATGGCCCGGCAGGTCCACGAAGTCCTGGCTGTCCTGGAAGTCCAGCCTCTCCCTTCTGTCCGTCTCTGGCAGCTGGTCCCGCTTCTCCCTTCTCTCCTGGAAGTCCGTTGAATCCACGATCTCCCTTTGGTCCTGGTATTCCGGCGAGTCCGTCACGTCCTGGAAGTCCTGGCAGACCACCATTACCCTTCATTCCTGGGGTTCCTGGCATTCCTGGAACTCCTGGCTCTCCCTTTGGTCCGTTAAGACCTGGAAGTCCTGAGAGTCCGGCGTCTCCTGAAAAATATTTGTATCTATTCCTGTTCGCTGAAAATTAACTTACCCTTGAATCCTGGAACTCCTGGGATTCCAGCATTACCCTTCATTCCTGGATATCCTGGGGCTCCTGGAAGTCCTGGGGCTCCGGAAAGTCCTGCAGCTCCAGCATCTCCCTTCAATCCAGTAACTCCTGGTAGCCCTGGAAGACCATCTTCTCCCTTTTGTCCTGGAACTCCTGGGAGTCCATCTTGTCCTGGGAATCCTGGGGATCCTTCACGTCCTGGAACTCCTGGAAGTCCGGCGTCTCCCTTCTCTCCTGGATATCCTGGCTGTCCAGACAATCCTGGTAGTCCGTTCTCTCCCTTGAGTCCTGGGGCTCCTGGGAACCCGCGTTGTCCTTCAAGTCCTGGCGCTCCTGGAAGTCCTGGAAGTCCAGCATCTCCCTTGAGTCCTGGGAATCCTGGAGCTCCTGGTTGTCCTGGCACTCCGACTCCTGGCTCTCCCTTTTGTCCATTAAATCCTGGCATTCCTGGGTTTCCGACATCTCCCTTTGGTCCTGGAATTCCGGGAAGTCCTGGTACTCCTCCGAATCCCTTGTCTCCTGGTACTCCTGGGTGTCCTGGGAGTCCTGGTGGTCCTGGCAAACCAGAGTCACCCTTCATTCCTGGTAATCCTGGGAATCCTGGCTGTCCGACTTCTCCTGGTCGTCCTGGGAATCCAGACTCTCCCTTAGTTCCCTGAAAATAAGTCATTTTATACTTCTTTTGATCAATATTTTGTTAAACGTACTGGAAGTCCTGGAAGTCCTGGCTGGCCTGGTGGAGCTGGGTTGACTTGGTTTTCTGGTGCTGGCTCTCCTGGCAATCCTTGGAGTCCTGGGGTTCCTGGAAGTCCTGGAAGTCCAGCTTCTCCCTTAGTTCCTGGGAATCCTGGCTGTCCTGGTTGTCCGTATCCGGCTTCTCCCTTGTTTCCTGGAAGTCCTGGGAGTCCGTCTTGTCCTGGCTTTCCAGAGAGTCCTGGCAGACCAGCGTCTCCCTTTTCTCCTGGGTATCCTGGCTGTCCTGGTGGTCCGACTGGTCCTGGAGCTCCTGGGAGTCCATCATTTCCTGGTTGTCCTGGGTAACCGTTCTCTCCCTTCAATCCTGGATATCCTGGTGGTCCTGGACGGAGGACTAGCTGAGTTGGTTCTCCCTTTTGTCCTGGAAGTCCTGGAAATCCGTCTTGTCCTGGTGGTCCTGGAGCTCCTGGACGTCCGGCTGGTCCCGGAAGACCATCATCTCCAGCGTCTCCAACAGGTCCTGGCATTCCTGGCAAACCACGATCTCCTTGTGGTCCTGGCTGGCCTGGGTATCCGGCCAATCCCTTCTCTCCCTTAGTTCCTGGTGCACAAGCCGAGCAAGTACCTCCACGGTCTCCCTTTGATCCTGGCGCTCCTGGAAGTCCATTGACTCCATCACGTCCATCGTATCCCTTTGGTCCTGGAGCTCCACGTGGTCCTGGTGCTCCTGGAAGTCCGTTCAGCGAGTCTCCTGGTGGTCCTCTAACTCCTGGCAATCCATTCTCTCCCTTTCTTCCTGGGGCTCCGTCAAGTCCTGGCTTTCCGTCCTTTCCTGGGAGTCCTGGGATACTTTGTCCTGGGGTTCCACGATATCTATAAATATCAAAAAGTTTATAAAGACCATTCTAGTGTTGTTCATTTTCTTACCCTGGCTCTCCCTTTGGTCCAGAAAGTCCAGGCATTCCTGGTGGTCCAGAGACTCCTGGTGCTCCTGGAGTACCACCATCTCCCTTATCTCCCTTTGGTCCTGGAAGTCCTTCATTTCCTGGGTATCCTTGAAGACCTGGTCCTCCTGGGTTTCCTATTGGTCCAGCTGGTCCTGGGGCTCCTGGGAAACCGTCAGTTCCTGGTGGTCCTGGGTTTCCTGGACGACCTGGCAATCCTTGTGGTCCTGGAGCTCCATCGTTGAAGACACCTCCCTGAAATTTAGAAATTCGGTTTTATCTCTAACGCTAGTTTTGATCTAGTTGAAAAATATTTCAGATGTAAACTCACTCCTGGTGGTCCTGGTGGTCCAGAGTTACCCTTTGGTCCGTCTCTTCCTGGGTATCCAGCTTCTCCCTTCTGTCCTGGAAGTCCTGGAATTCCGCCAAGTCCGTCAAGACCGCGGTCTCCCTTGAATCCTGGTGGTCCAGCGTTTCCTGGCCGTCCTTCCTTTCCTCTTGGTCCAGCTGGTCCGGACAATCCCTTCTCTCCCTTCATTCCTGGGAGTCCTGGCTGTCCTGGAAGTCCTCCGTTTCCTGGGTATCCTCGTTGTCCACCCTCTCCTGGCTCTCCCTAGAACGTTTGAGCAATTAGAAACATTAGTTAGGAGTAATGGGCAATCACACACGAAAACGACTATGCAGTTATTTTTTCTACTAAAAATAAAGGTGGTGAGTTTTTTTTCCATATTATCACCGATAGACAGTGATGAAAGATTTGGGAAGATTAAAAAAATGATAGAAGTTTTGAAAAGAAAATTTTTAAATCTAATCTAATTGAACTCTGGGTAGAGCATGCAGTAGAAGTATGAAAGGCAAGAAATAATAAGAAGTAACAGCTAAAAATTGAGGCAAAACTGTTAAGGATTAGCGAAAATTAATTGATAAAAAATGTTGGTTTGAAAGAAAGTTAGCCTTTAGTACTAGCTACATATTCTTGCCTTCTCTCCCTTCTCTCCTAGGTCTCCCTTAGGACCGATAATGGTTCCCTTGGACATGGTGGAGGCGATCGGGCCTGGTGGACCGGCCGGTCCCATGCCACCAATGTCTCCCTAAAATGGAAAAAATTAATAAACCAAGTACCTTGTCTCCCTTTTCTCCAGGGTTTCCGCGTGGTCCGACAATCGAGCCGGATCCAGTGAACTCACGTGGTCCTGGTGGACCTGGTGGTCCGACCAAACCTAGATCTCCCTAGAATTTTGAAAATACAAAAATTGAAAAATATAATGGGAGTCATTAAAGTGAGAAATTCCTGAAAACTACAGTAACCCCATATCAGCCCTATTTTCTCACAGGATCTCCCTTTGGTCCGATGCTTCCGATTCCTGGGTTTCCTGGTGGTCCAGCCTCTCCTGGTGGTCCTCTTGGTCCCTAAAAGGATCATTTTCAAATTTCAGCTCTTTTCAAACATGAACCATACAGCATCTCCAGTATCTCCTCGGTCTCCCTTTTCTCCTGGGTATCCATCACGTCCTGATGGTCCTGGAAGTCCTGGCATTCCTGGCATACCACCGTCTCCTTTTTCTCCTGGAGCTCCGGCGTATCCGATAGCTGGCTCTCCTTTCAATCCGTCCATTCCTGGTGGTCCCGGGAATCCTGAAAACGCATTTTGCATTGTTGTTCGCAGAACTTTGATGTTTTAAAGTTTTTGTTCCGCCTAGTTATTTTGAACCTATGCTCATAAAAACCCTCCTGTTGAAATGAAATGGCATCCAACGCATTCATGCAGGGACCCAAGAAACCAACTGTTTGGTGTAAACTGAGATGCTCAAAAAATATGTGTTTGCGTCTTCACCCGCTGTTTTTTTTCAACCAAGAAGAAGATGAAGAGAAGAGTTTTTGCTCTGAGACATTTCGTTGATTGACCGCAACAACTTGCGGGAAATAGGATGCCTATTTTTTCACACGACAGCTGACAGTAGTACTGATAAGTCAGACTCTAGACTATTTAAAAGCACAAGTTTCATTAAAAGAGTAATGGAATTCAGAAAGTGGGGAATTTCAATACTTTTTTGAAAAATGGAAATAACAATGTAATCACAACAAATTATTTTGGATCTTTCTAACTCCCTAAAATCACAAAAATTTAGTATGCGTTTCAGTAATCAACTAAATTAATACTGTCATCTAGTTTTTCGCAATATATTTCAAACAACTTGATTTTCACTTACCTGGCATTCCTGGTGGTCCTGGCCGTCCTGGAATTCCTGGTGCTCCGTCAGTTCCGTTGCATCCATCCCATCCAGGGGCTCCTGGTGGACCTGGCTCTCCCGGTCGTCCGTTTCCACCATCGTTTCCTGGGAATCCAGGCACTCCGACGGCTCCACGATCTCCCTTGATTCCGTTTGGTCCGGGTGGTCCTGCAAAATGAATGATGAGTCATGAGTTTTCTTTCAGTTTACAACAGTGGGCTCTTGCAAGGAGCCCACTCAATTATTCTATCCAATCTTATACTACTGAGGGAAACTTGGATGAAGAAAGAGAAGAAGAATAAGAAGATAGCAGTGACCTGGCACGCCGAGAGATGATTAAAGATTTTGATTGAGTGCCGCTGCTAAAGAGACGGAAATATGGGATGACAGGATGATTGAAGAGTTTCACCTTTTTGAAAGTCGAGAGAGGGGACATAAAACAAAACTCCTGTACTTTTCTTCAACTTTACCTTGAGCTCCTTTTTGTCCTTTTGGTCCAGCGAGTCCTTCTGGTCCGGGGAATCCGCGGATTCCTTGCATTCCAGGTGGTCCCTGTGGTCCTGGTGCTCCCTGAAATGAGATTCATAGTTTTTTGATTGTAGGTCGAACTTGATTTTACTAGACCCGTAGTTATCTACCACATGATTCTACATAATTATCACAACTCTCATAAGTTTTCAGTATAATTCAAAACTCCTGTCTATACTATTCTTTCAAGGTGCTGATTTCTACAAACACTTGCTATGTGACCCCCGTTGACCCTTTCGTCCTCCTCCCACGTCTCTTGGATGGAGGTGCCATGGTATGGAGAGATATAGGTGACAGCTGTGGCGCATCGCTCCTCTATCTGCCCTGCTGAAGATTCCTCCACGGAGGAAAGGAGAGGGGAATCGCCGCAGCACTCAATGTTATAATCTTGTCCAAGCTTACTCAATCAATGAGATTAAGGTAGTGTTAAGTAAAACGATAACTTTCTATATATGTAGTACAAGATTTTGAAACATTCGAAACAGTGTAATAAGGCATGAATTCAGCAAGATTGGTCTAAGAAGAATTTACCAATCAGAAAAAGGATATAACGTCAAGATTATTGAACATATTTTTGAATCTAAGAAATACAGACAAGTTTTGAAAAGGAGACAAGCTTCAAGTATTTTTCCCGTAGTTTTTTTTTGGGACCACACACTTGATTATCAATAAAAACCACCTTATATGGATTCTAACCCCTATAATAAATTCTGAAAGTTCATTTTCAATCTAGTAACTCTTCATGAGCCCCTCAGTCAATTTTATAAGTTTAATAATAATCCCATGGAACTAAAGTAACCTAGAAACTAAAACTGATATTTTTTCCATTCAACTCACCATCGATCCTTTTTCACCGACACAGAAACATCCTCGGTTGGAGCAATCTCTGCATGTCGCTTGCTGAAAACCGCAAATTACTGTTACATATTACAATTTTTAAATTATCCTGAATTGTTTTTCAAAAGCCGACAGCTTCGAAGTGGGATAATTTAACATTTTCTACAGTATGAAACGGATAAGGCAATTAACTCACCGATTGTACATAGCTCACAGCAAGTAAGGCCAATATGGCCAGCCGCAACACGGGCCTGGAACGAAAAACAATTGAAAATGGAGATATGAAAGAACTCTTCTGGGGAGTACTGTATTTTTTTGATTTTCGAATTTCAAAGTTTAGCTGTTTAGATTCACAATCTGTAGAAGATGTTACTTCTTCAGAGTATTAAATATCAAAAAGTTCAGAAGAAAATTAGATTTCAGTACCGTTACGCCCATAAATGGCTATGGAAAACTCACCCGAGAGCCGCTCGTTGCTTCATGTTGGTAGGCAGCCGTTGGCTGTGAGAGCACCAGTAAGAAGAAAAGAATCAACTCTTAGAGAAGAGGCGGGGCCTTCTTCGAAGATCAAAAGGGGAGAGCGAGAGAGGAGGGGCTCCGTCCGTCTTCTCCTTCACTCCGAGGCACAGACGACAGGCGAGGGCGACGCTGTAATAGTGAAAATAGTGAGATGGGTTGTGTCGAATCGGAAGAGATTGAGAGAATCGGAGCCAAGACGAAGTGCCCGCGGGCAGACAGCCAACGCACCGAAGGGATCCAGGCGATGATACAGAATCAACTGAACTTTAGAGAGAAAAAATAGTGACACAGAGGATTTGTTACGAGGGACCGACCGCAACTTGGGCATATGGTCAGTAGATTGATCGAGAGAAGAGCATCGGGATGAGGCGAGTAAAAAAAGTTCGGATGAAGGAGCCGAGAGAAAATGAAAAACTCGCGGTGGTTGAGATAGGATAGAGTGTATGATAATAAATTATTGCACTTTTTTAAAAGTGGGATTAGTCATATCGATTTATCAGAAAAACAATATTTTATCTTTCGATTTATTCAGAAAAACAATATTATATCTTTCGATTTATCAGAAAAACAATATTGTTGGTAACTAAAATTGGTTGAGAAAGTTCAGCATATCTGACTTGGGTCATCAAGCATTTGTCCATTGAACATCATGAACTAGAATTTTTTGAAGTTGTAAATTTTGATGAATATGCCAAAGGAAGGGTATATTCTTTGGACAATCAATGGTGTAAATTTCAAAAGTTTAAATCGATTGACATGCGTTACCGTGAAAGGAATACCTTCGGAAGGTAAAAATATCCATTATTTCCCGCCATCTAGCTCGTTTTCACAACTATTAAGGATAACCAAGCTCTTGTAGCTTTTCACAGTTTTTCCACAGTATACCATGCTACCACAATCCTTGCTCATTCTTTATCAGATCTGCTTCATCCTGCTCCGCAAAGAATTCCCATCCTATCCATCAAGGATTGGTGCTGTCTATCGATCTAAATCCATCTTTTCCCTCCATCCAATTCGCTTTTCTCTTATCAATCTGTTGTGACCCTTCTTCTGAGAAAACTTTGATAAAGTGCACAAAGCTGTCAGAATCTGATTGATGTTAACGGATGAGATATTTGAATTGTTTCAGAAAACTTGGTGAGCAGAGTTTTGAATTGCAAGATAAGTACAAAATTTGGATAATATCATTGTGCCTTCATCGAAGCTCAAAACTTTCTTTAAATTTTATTTTGTTCATATAAACTTTTTAGAAGCTCTTTGCCGCCAACCGATGTCATATATAGAAGCGTCAAAACAGCGTCACGATGCGTGGACACGGAGAACTGTGCACCGCTGTTGTCATGTCAAACTTCCTAACCTGACTACAAAAAAATTCTGAAAAATCTTCCTCCGCTCAAGCATATCTGTTAAATTTTATTCTGTTATAACTACTAAAAAGAATTTTTGTTTCGCCGCAAAACCCTTCTATTTTTTTTCATCACAACATTACGGCTATTCTTGACCACGGCAGAACGTTGTGATAAGGATAGCAAGAGTCTCCTGGCACCTCCTGACGCTTTGGCAACATTATTGAAAAGAGATCTTCTTCTCTTTCTCTCTTTCATAGAGGTCATGTTGTTCGTGCAGCTTTCATTCTAGAAAACGTACTTTAAAACACAGCTGTTACATGATATAACCGACACTGGCCAGCACTATTAGAGGTCGCAAACTTTTTTTCAATACTAGTTCAGCGAGAGAAGTTCATGACAGATGCACGAACATCTGGAGTTTATGGAGTCTCATGACAAATGTTTTCATTCCATTTTCTTTCATGAAAAAAAGAAAAAAGGAACAACTAGACCAATGTTACTGCAAACCGTACAAAAAACTGTCGAATTCCTTTTTTCTCGATGTTTGACGTTTAGTGGTCAAAAATAGGCTTCTTCTAGTTTTACTGTTTCATAAACATTTTTTATCGACACACATACACATCAAAATTTGTATACACTTATTCACTTGGTGTAAGAAAAGCATCAAGAAGATGAATCGCACATATGTGGTCTTATAAAAACTCCAAGGGGACGAAGAAACTTGGAAGATGATGAAGATGAACCCATTTGTTTACAGGGGCCTCTGAAAGTGTAAACAATGCTTTTCTTGTCCTTTAGTGTTGCACAAAGTGCACAAGATGTGAGCAGAGGGAGCTGTTTACAAGCAGTTGTTCGTCAAAAGAAAGGGATTGATGATTACTAGTTGACAGCAAAACACATAGTCTTGATTTTTTGAGAAATTTTAGAGAATTAATATATTTTCAAATGTGGAGTTTCTGCAGAACACTTTCACATCGCAAAGTAATAATACTTAGTTCTTAGCAGGTCTGAAAACTTGAATTTCTGCAAAAAGTGAACTATTGAACAAATTATAAATTTTTAAAAGTGCATTATAACAGGTGTTGGCCGTTGTGAAAGTAAAGGTTTTATGCGAAATTCGGAGAAATAAAAATTGCACTTTAATATGTGAAATGTTATACGATATGTACTAAAAGTAACCCAGTAATTTATATAGGGTTATAAAATACAGGGATTGGTAGAGGAAAAAATAATTTCAAGAATTTTCCGATTTTGCACATAAATTTCAGAAAAAAGTTTCACAATTTCAAAATTGAGAAACTAATAAGTTCTTTTCGATTTTCTTTTCTCTAAATTTATCATGAATTGGTATTTCAAGGCATCTTAACCAGAGTCTCCTTAGCCAGAGTTTTTCATGTTTTGGTCAGTTTCAAAAATACTTCGAACCAAACTAAAGTCGACTACGGTAATCCATTTTGTTACATTTAAAAAATGATTTCCTTCGTGTTTTTTATGATAAAAAAAATCAGTAACAGAGTTCATTTAAAATTATTTACCAGCGCATGTGTTTTTTACAACATGACATTTATCAAATCCTAAGTTTATATTTCATTTTGACAAATTAATTCTGTTCCTCTTCCTTTCCCCCACCTATCATCTCTTATCTAATTTTATCTAAACCTCTCATTCTTCCAACTCTCTATTTCCGAATCCACACCCAATCATCCTTCATAGCCACTATCCTCTCGTCTTCCCCGATCAGCAACATTTGCTGCGAGAAGGCCCCATTCAAATCAGTGACAACCTTGGAATTCTATGGGTATATAGATTGACGGTGTGCCCCGTAAGTATTGAGTTGGAGAAGAAGACGCGGATGAAGCAGAGGGCAGCTGTTCGTCGCAATGACTCATCTCTTCTCACTCTACTGCTCCGGGCCGATTTGCCGTGATGAAGAAGAAAAGAGGGGAGAAGAAGAAGACCCCAGCCCCAACTAAACATTGTAACATTTTCCTATATGCTTCTTCTGCCTCCGACCGAAACGTTTCTGGAGGCTGTATATCTGACGATTTGCACACGGCTGGCACTCTCGAGAAAGAGAATCTGGTCTCAAGATCTGCACAAATTGCCGAGGGATCTTCCACAAACTCCAGTTTTCATGTACCGCGTTTTTTTGGATCTTAATGCCATAATCTTTGAGGAACTCGGAAAACTCAGGATCGAAAATCAAGACTATATGGAATAGGGAAAAAAAAGAGAAATCCAAAAAAGACAATCCAATTACAATCAAGCGGGGCTTTTACAACAGGGTTTTTTCTTGGAAAAAGTGAACTAATGAAAAAAGTGTGACGACCGGAAGAAACTCGGAACGTTTTAATTGAAAAACCTCAACCCACAAGCAAAGATACATCCGACACATATAGACAATTGTTTTCTTATTTTGCTCTTTTATGGGAACGAGGAAACGTCAATCCTAGGATGGATGCCCTCCGCGTCAAATATACAAACAAATCCCGTTGTTTCTAGACATTTTTATTAAATCTAGACGACGGTTTTTCCTAGAAATACTACGGTAGCTACCCATGAGTTTTCTTATAAAAGGCTTTCAAGATAATCTCCGCCTACATATTTTAGTGCTTTCGACCTTTTGCTTTGTATTTTTTGCTTAGCAAATCGGCCAACTTACACTCTAGCAATGATTGAAGCTTTCTGAAATTGAAATATATTTGCAATGATAGTCTGTAAACTTAAGTTCATCGCGGTCCTCAATCCTCGTTTGATCTGGTTGTTTTTACAAAAGAAGATTCTCCCTGTAATTGTTTAACTCATATTTTGGATTGCTCTTTCAGACTTGGGCGTCACCACCATCAACCATGCGAGCGACAGAGTTGCTCCATTTCCTTCTGGCAACAGTTTCATTTGCACAAGATATGGTACGTCCCATACATAGTATTGAAACTTAACATCCCAATTAAATTTTCCAGTCACGAGACAATAAACATGTCGAGAATGGGATATTCGCCATAGTTGGTGCTGAACTTCCTCATTCTGAAGTCCCAGTTCCAGACTACTACCACAATCCAGCAGAATTACTTCTCACTAGTGTCCTCGAGGCTAGAGAAGACTCTGAAAAGCGTAACTCTCTGGAAACGTCGAGAGAGTTCCCACCACCACCTACGATTTCAACCAATTCCATCGAGACTAGCTCTGCGGAACATGAGTCAATAGTAAAAGCTCATAGAATAGATCATTCTGGGGAGAACCTCATCAGATACCCAATGAAACTGTGGTTACATGGAGGAATGGAGGAAGTCATCATTTTCGATTTTTGGAGATTCAGTGACTTGAAGGGTATACCGGGACGTTGAGATTCGATAAAATAAACTTGAATTTAGGTCTTTTTATCTCTTGTGCCATCCTGTTCGTCCTCGGAGCTTTCTACGAAGCTCTGAAAGGTCTTCGACTCAACCTCGCTGATGTCAAAAAATGGAAGCGGAAAGACTCGGTGAGCAATTCAGACGATTTGTGGTGTGAAACTGAAATATTTAGTTCAAACTTCCTACTGTAGTCACCGTAACTGATGGTCGTGCATTGAGAGACGATTTCAAAGATCTGACGAGTAGCGTTCCATTGGTTACCAACCCTTTCAGAATAGTCGACAACCAGGAAGAAAAGGATGCAGCTAAAACGTATTTTCAAAAGTTAGAGCTTCGAAAAGTAGTTTTGTTTCAGACCCGGCTGCTTTTCCTTGGTTCGTATTGTTCAGGCTCTGGTCTACATGGTTCAAATGGCTTTGGCTTTTGCACTAATGTTGGTTGTGATGACTTACAATGTTTGGCTCAGTGAGTCTCCTCATAGAAATGTTCAGGGATTGATTAATTGTTTCAGTTCTTGCTACTGTCCTTGGTGCTGGAATTGGACACTGGATGTTCCCTTCGAAACCTTCTGTGGTTTGACCACCACTTGTCTTTGATATGTTACGTTTGGACCATTCTAATTATTTTTTCCATCTTTGTGTGTAAGCGAGAATACAAAAAAAATGTTGCCCGTTCCTTTATATTATATTTCATGTTATTAATATCAATATAATATTTAGACACACTTTTTTGACACCCAAATGTCAATAAACCTGTTAACCTTGTTAAATTAAAGAATTTTGAGAGTATATTTGATCATCACCAGCATGCCATTGTTCTAATCAAGTGGTTACAGTCAATGAGACAAACTCAACTTATGATACTTTTTCTGAAAAAAAAACAAAACAAGAATTCAATTAATTTTATTATATCACAAGAAATTGATACGGGCTTTTCAACGTGTCTGTGTTGTGTTTGTGTGTTTGTGGGATAGAGCTCTCATCGGAGCATCTTTTAATATACCGTAAGCAAATCAAGAAAAGTAAGGCCTCGGGATGGTGGTTGGGAGTGATGATTGGTGGAGGGAGGGATAATAGTACAAATCGGGCAAAATTGATAATCAACAATCATATAGTGAGAAAAGGGGACTACACAAAGTTTTGGGATGGAAATGGAATAAATTATAGATGAGCTACCAGATTGAAATGAACCAATTCCTTAGAAAATTCCTGCTAACAAGATCATTTTCCTTGGAAGACAATATAAACTAGCAATAAGGTCAAAAAATAAAGAAAAATGCTGCCGTATTCTAAAAAATGTGGAAGCAAACGATGTGAAAGCACTGTACAAATTGGTGGTGTTTTGGAACTATATTACGGAATAAGTTTGGGCGATTGGGCAAAATGAGGGTAATACCGTCAGAAGTGTGTAGTTGTTGAGAAATGAGTGGAGACAAGGGGATATTGTGCATTGGGAGAAGTTTTGTGTCAAATTTTGAAGAACCACGTATTTACAAAACACAGGGTGAGGAAAAATTGAAGGCGGGCAAAAAATATGAAAAGTAAAACACATTTTGAGAAAATCTAGGATATGTCTAGCGACCATCAGAGAGTTGAACACCCGAATCAGTTGTATCGTTACCATCGTTGAGTTCCTATAATAACTGGGGCAAAGTTTAGTGTGAGAATGAATCACGAAATTTTAGGTTACCTTTGGACGCAACTCGTCCGTCTCGGTAGCCGATCCTTCTTCGGCCAACTCGTCAAGTGTTGGAATGCGGACTGTCATGTCGGCGATGAGAGCGTTCATCTCGTCAGAAGCCATTGAGAGATGGTCTACGTTAGAGCATATTGAGCCGTGAGAATTCTGAAAAATATTGAGAGTTGTTATTTTTATTTTTTTTTCAATTTAAATTATGCTTATGGTCCCAAACAAAATCAGTCATTTTTCAAAAACTCACCGAATCTTCATCCAAATCGCATACGCTGCTTCCTCTCAACTGATTCTGCGTCCATTTCTCTGCTTTCTTGAGCTCCAACTGTGAAATGCTGCTACGAAGATCTTGAATCGTCTGCATCGCTTCCGAATACTTGAGCCGGTCGTTCATCCGTTGCTCGCTCAATTCGCTCTCCTTGTTATACATCTTCTCCTTCTCCTCCTTCAATTCATCTTCCAACTCTCGCCGCTTCTTGACCAACACGTCAGACTCCTCACGAACTCTCTTCATCTCCTCATCCTGTCTTTTCAACTGATTTGTGCAGACATGATTTTGAGTCTCTAGCTCCATAACCTTTTGCCGCATTTCCTTCAGCTCTGCCAGTGTATCGGCTTCCTTAATCCTAACACCCATTAGTTGATCCTCAAGCTCACGAACACCGATGCAATGCTCTGGCTCTTCAGTAGATCCTCCAATCAAAGAAGCCGTGATCTTAGCAAGGCGAGCACGAGCAGAAGTGAGCGGTGGAGATGGTTGTTGTTGTTGCGCCGAGTGAGCTTCGGATGTGGAGTCTTTCTCGATAGAAGCAGAGGATGGGTCGAATGCACGGACGTGAACATATTTTGCCCAGTGCTGTTCCAGCTCGGCGAGACGTTGACGCATATCCTTGAGAGCAAGTGAGCTTTCAGCTTCACGCATTTTGACAGATATAAGCTCTTCTTGTAGTCCGGCTACATCTTCTGACGGCTCGTGTTCCAGCAGTCGTTTGTTGGCCATTTCTAGTTCCTGCAAATTGGGAGGTACACTTGCATTATAATGAGCGTCATTCGTTGCAGCCATAATGGCTGAATTTCGACAGCTTTAAAATCTAAAAAGCTTAAATGAGTTGAAATAGTTACGAAATTTCAAGCAGAAGGATATATGGGATATTAACCAATAACTTTTTTCAGCACATAATTTTTTTTTGTTTTTCGAACGATGTCGGACTTGAAATCAGTTTTCTCCGCTCCAATTCTTACCGAGACTCTCAACTTGGCGTCCCTTAACACATTCTCACTATCCGCTTGTCTGGTGTGTGCTTCGATAAGCTCTTGCTGAAGCGAGTGAATGTGCTCAATCATCGACGTATCGTCTACTTGTGTTCCCGTATCCATGATGTTGTCGCGTCGTGTGCTGGACAGCTCTCTGAAAAGAAATGACAACTAGTACTTTTTTGCGTTATCTCATATATCTTCAGTGTGGGGGAGTTTTCGTGTGGGATCCAATTACATTTTCTGTGTTCAGATGATATATGTATACGCGTATCAGTTGTCTTCTTCCTCTTGCTGACCGCAGAAACGACAAATCAATCAAATTAGAGTGAGATTTCGAAATTCTAAGATATGATAACATCGAATTGAGGATCTTGACATTTTGAAAACGCCGCATCAATCAATTTTCTCTCTTTCACCCTCCATAGGAACTGCACTAGCCGCAAATGAAAAATGAGAGGAATAACGAGAGTATGAAAAAGAAAAGGCTTGGTGGTTTTGCCGCATTGTTTGTACACGTCACAGGGCTTCTCATAGTATTCCGCGCGGAAGAATGACAATCTAGTTGAGGTTTAGCAAAAGTTTTCTGGTAACAAAGTATCTCACTCGGTTCCCGCTCACCTGATAGTCTCATAGGCGCCCTCTAACTTGCGGTGAACATCAGAGTTCATGTCGCGCAATTTGTTCAACTCATGTGCAATGTTGATGTAGTTCTCGGCTTCCTGAGCAAGATTCACCTGAAAAGGAAACGTTGAAAATAATAGTTATTGGGGGAAAGAAACGGAAAACGAGTTTTTTTGTTTCCTGAGACTGACTAATTGTGTTGTTTTTGATTTCTTCCACTTCATAGAAAACAATTATTCCTCACCTGTCCCTTCACAAGACGATCTGCAAGTGCCGACGATTCCGCTTCCAGATAATCGATTCGTTGGCGCAGAAGACGATTCTCGGTACGAAGACGCTGAAATAATTTGATAAACTTCTCGCTTTCCAATTTTCAGTCCCATTAGAAAATTGTTCTTGGTTTTTCGTGACCGGGTGTTCTTCTTTTCTCTCCCCTTGTTAACCCATTGTTCCTGACACATAATATTTGTTGCGGGAAGTTGATTTAAAATGTGTATGTGGGTTGGCGCGGGAGCGTTCAAACAGAAGCACCCCCTTAGAACTCCTGGGGAGAAGTTTCAACATATGTGTATTTGTATGTTGGGGTGTTTCTGGGAGTTGAGATCAAGAGTGTAAGGAAGCGATCAAACTCGCTTTATCATTGAGAAAGATAGAGAGCGTGTCTCTAATAATTAATGATGATACTTTGTCACACGTCGTCTCGGTGGGAAACCCTTCTTCTCATAAGCAATCCTTGGGACCCATTCATTGTTGGGTTCCTTAGGCGCTGCTCCTTCGAAAACGTACTCAATGCATATGGAATTAGGTGCTGGTCCCTTCTCATCAGTCATCCTTTCCTTTTTTGAGACAATAGAGAGGAGAAGTGACAAATTTTAGCCCTCACCAAAAATAATCTTTTTTTTTGAGATTATGAGGGCTGAATATTGTTCATTTATCCGCTCTCTCCATGCTAGACTGGTTTTCACGCTCATAGCCATACAAAACTGTCTATGTATGTACAAGTACACAAAAATGATGATGATGATGGTGATGAAAGATGAAAAGGGAGAGAGGGAGAGGCAAATTTAGTTGCCGGTGACTGAATTCCCCTTCTTGTGGAATAATGGTTTGCATATAACCTATACGAATTGACAGAACCGTTCAATTTATTTTATTGTACTGTTGTACTTTTGACAGTACTATTCCCAAAAAATTGGCGAGGAAAAGAAAAAAGCACTCGTGGAGACCAACTTCTTTTTTCTCTTTTTTCCTTGGTTTTTCATTTTATTTTATTTTACGATCAAATGTCAAGACAAATATTTCCCGAGGAGAAAAAAAATTGGAAAAAGGCAGGACACGGTTTTTTGGCCTTCTCTCTCTGGTTTCAATAAGTATGATTGGCAGCAATTTAGTCAAACATTTTGTATAATGGGATGGGGAGGAGAAGGAAGTTTACCTTTTTCGTCCAGATAAATCGCTGTTTTCCAATTTGGGCACGCGTTTTCATGACTGGAAAGAAAAGAAAAATAGGATAGTTTTGACGAAATAAGAAAAACGATGAAAAGTGTGAAAATGGAATCGAACAATGGAGAGCGTAACGGGTTGGTCACTCAAGATGAATGAAGTAATATTGAAAGAGAAGAAAGAATGGAAGAATACCAAGACACTAGAGAGGAGAATAGAGAGGTGACGGAATGATAATTAGTAGCAAAAGTAGTGAAAGAAAAGAGGAAAAACGGACTCAATGATGATGGAAAAGCTAATCGAAACAGGACAGAACGGCGCTTGGTTTCAGCTAGAGAGCGCCCACCCGGCCCGGGTCGATCTATGAATCGAGAAGGGCGGGTGGGAAAGCTCCGCCCCCTTTTCTGCGCTCGCGCCGTTTGTTTCTGTTTTTGGAACAGTAAAAGAACACTTCGAAACTATCAAAGAAGACTTAAAAACAAGTAAAGACAAAAATGAGGGAGAGAAAAAAGAGTCTTCAGTGTTACAACATTGTAGTTCGATTTTTCTTTTTGTCTTCTTTTTCTTCTTCGTCCCCAGGGCCTGATCAAAGCGACACGTAACGACTAAAAGACTAGCCAGTTAGTCACCTGGGGGCGGGTGAAGAAAATAAGTGAGAGACGACGACGAAGAGGGAAGAAGAAGATGATTGAGAAAACGAAGACCGGAAACTAATCAATGACTGTTATGGTGATTGGAAAAAAAGAGGAGTGACTCAATTTTTATTATTAGCCTTTTTATTGATAACTGACAAAAAATTGGTATGGTGAAAACACGCAGAGAGTGAAAGAGCCATATGCCTATCTTAAAGCTCTTGCCTGTTTTATTGCCCGTCAAGTGGGAGAGGTGGTAAACAGTGACACTCAATTCACTTTTCTACCGGCATTTTGATTTTTTTCAGGAAAAAAATGCAATGGGAATTTGAGGAACACGAGAAAACAATAGGCACAATCACGAAACAATGAAATCACTTCCTTTTTTTGTGTATCAAACGAGAAATAATCAAAGGAACGTCACAGTTGCCAATTTCGAGAATAATCTACGGTTTTTTATCAATCATTGGAGAAGAAGCGAAATTCAAAAATAAACTGTTTTAAAATTTCTAATGATCGCTGAGAAAGAAGAGAACTACTTTAAAAAGGTGTATGAACTAGATGGGCGTGGTTTTTGACCCACCCATATATTCTACAGTTTCGAAATAAAGGACAAAGAAAAAGGTGAAGTGTTTCCCAAAATGTGAACTTTTCGAAGATAGATATCAATGATGGAAAGATTACAAGAAGAGTCAGTACGTGTCAACTAGAACCTTTTTCTTCACCAATAAAACAAAATGAATAACTGACTACTGGCATCATAATCATTAAGATTTTATCAAGAAGTATTTCCAAAAATTAGTTTCAAGAAAATCAATCAATGGAAAAATTTCTGTCTCAGCACACACTCACACGAAACCAAAACTGAGAGTTGTCGCCCTCCCAAAACCAAACGATACAAAACAAGCAAGAGAGCGTAGAGAAAAAAGAGAAAAAAATCGGAGAGAGAGTCGATTTGCTCGCTTTTATCGCCTCTCACACATACTCATCATCACGGATTTTCATGGATGTGCATGAAAAATGCCAATGTAGATATGAGTGGATGTTTTTGCTGTGGGAGAGTTGAAGAGAAACACATGTGCTTGTGCATTTCGGAAAGCTCAGCTTGACGCCTCGCGCCGGTACCGCCGCCAACATCACGAAATAATGGAATGGGTCCCCCTACTCCCCCCGCGGTTATGATCCGTATCTTACACTTACCCTCAACTCGACGGCTTCCTCCTGTTCTTTTGTCCTCTTGGCCATATAATCCTTTTCCAGTCGTTTCATTCGTTTGGCATTCAACTGAACCTGGTTGGCGACGGCGAACAATAGATCCGCATCGTTCTCATATCTCTCACGGACTTCTCGCTGGAAATACTTGAGCATTCCTTCCATATCAAGTCGTAACAGCTCAATTCTGGCTTGTTGAAGAATAGCGATCGATATGCAGAAGATGTAATCCATCCCTTCTACCAAAAAACAGTCCATTATTCGATTTGCAATATCCAGTGGCATTGTAGTTGTGAAAAGTGTCAAAAACCATGAGGAGGCGTACATCGATGTGTCGAATCCCATATTATTGAAATGCGTATACAAATCTGGCATCTGATCCTGAACCAAGCATTCCAGTTGGAACATACATAGACCCAAATCTGTCATTGTTGGCTTGTAGAGTTCTCGGAGACGGTAGTTCTCCATAAGGCTGACAAGAACTGCGAACGCTTCTTCTTCTGGCATCTGGAGAAGCAGAAGGCCGACGATGAATGCCGATCCTTGACAGTAGCCCACTTCTTTGTCATGGACTGAGTATGCCTTGATTACGTTGAAGAGAAGAGATTGTCCACGTTCGCCGTCTTTGAAGAAGTCGAGCTCTGGATAGGTACGTGGAATATCGCGTTGGATGACCTGAAATAAATAACAATAGCACTGATAAATAAACGATTGCTGAAAAAAGAGCAAATTCCAGATGAGACTAGAATTCTATTTGAACCTCCGGTTTGATAAACGTATTCTACCATAAGCTTGTAGGAATTCTGGATTCACTTAGGGGTTTCAAAGCTAGAACTTATAAAATTACCTTGGATAAAACTTTAAGATCAGAACGTTGGAATGAAATACTGAAAGTATGGCACCATTTAAGTTTTCATGATTTTGAACAATTAACTGGAAACCAGATTTTCGAAAATGTTTCATAAATTTCTATATGACGGTTCTTCCTATATAACGATCTCCCTTGATTTGTTTATATCGGTGGGCTTGAAAGATCGTGAGTTAGTGAACATCTATTTTTAGCTCATTTTTCAACTAATATCTGTTTCGCACTATATTTTTCTGAATTTCTGCCAATACTGAAAATTTTGAGGCTTTAATTTTCAGCATTTTTTCTAGTGGCGGCCTGGAATTGATGGGAATTCGAATATGCCTCTGAGAAATTTTCATAAAATGACGATTTTGAGCTTTTTGAGCGTTTCAAAGAGATTTCTGACGGTTTTTTTGCCCGAGTTTGCTTGTAAACCAAAATTACCTTTTCATAAACCGAAGACTGTCTCATATAATCACTGTACAAATCGTGTACACTCGATACCGATGCATTAGACAGATTCTGCCAAGCAATCATTCGAAAATGCTGCGGTATTCCTTTTTTAACAAGCTCCTTGATGTGATTCGGACGCTTTTTGACTTCAACTTCCCAGTTGAGAATGAGCTCTCCCCACACGGACCATAGATCTTCCTGGAAATACTGTCAGGAGAATTAAGGATGGATTGTTTTCTTGGTTTCAGTACCTCATCTTCTTCAGGAGAGTGTGTATGTTCTCGAGCACCTTTCCTACTTCCACTGGATCCTGTCTTTTTGGAGGCCACACTTCGCGAATCTTCCTCATTTGATCTGAAAAATTCAAATGCTTTCGCAAATTTCAATTTCCATTGTCTATAACATCCCAAATATTCCGAAATGCAAACAATCAGAGGCAGTGAAAAACTACGGTATTTACTATTTTTGTTCGATTTTGAGAGTGTTTGGTCAATGTTTGGCCAACTGCTTTTTATGACTATACGCACAAGGAATCTTTTTCGGCTGGTACTATTTAAGGGATTTCTTAAAAGTTCAAGTCAAGAAAAAATCTACCGTACTTGTTTAGCTGTTCCATCTTGGCAAGCAAATCGACTTCATTGATTGGGATGGGGTCTCCAGTCTCGCACGGCTCGCCACACTCGGTGTCTGCGGATCCTGAAAAATGAATAAGGTTTATATTTATATTGGAAAAGTGCGCGGAAGGGGGTACTTCTTATTCTCAAAGTGTCAGTCAACTTGTAGAGAGAAGTAAAACCAAAAAAACCTAAAGAAGCTGGGAATGAAATGTGAGAGAGCAATCTAGGGAGAACTACATAACCCCACAAGTTCTGGCGATATACATACAAATGGCAAGAGTGAAAAAAAAAGTGGGAGGTCTCTAATAAACGTTTTTCACCCTCTGACGCCTCTCTAACTTCCATTTATAACAAAGCCACAAGAATCGCAACGAGTGGGTGGCAGAACAATTTTTTGTATGAAAGAACAACGATCAGTTAGTATATGAACAAAAGAGGGTCCGTCAAAAAGGGCGACGGAGTATCGGAATAGGCCTAAAATGGAGAGAAGTGTATGCAACAAATATGACAAATGACGACGACACCACTCGTTTTGTCGTCCCCGACTCTTCTTCAATTTTTGCCGCCATTCCGAAACGAACCCAGTTGTTGTGAGCCTTTCTCGGGACATGCTTTTTCTTGTGTCCTTTCCGGGAAAGAAAGAGATACCAACAAAGACAAGAACATATTAAAAATGAGAAATAGATGAAGGGGGTTAAAATTAATGCAAACCGATTGCTAAGGTTTTTTTAAAGACTATGTGGCACGTGCGCACGGTATTATTTTCAATTTTCTAAAATTCCAAAAAAGATAAATTAGGCTTTGTGACTTAAAGTCACAATTTCACCTCAAAATAGGAACAAATCAAATTCTGGTGAGTCGGCTCAGTTTAACACCTGACCACTAGAACCGAACAAAATCACTTGCTTTCCGTAAGGTTTCAAAATTTTCACCGCCATCCGCTCGGCGCCGACACTCTAAAAAGGTGTTTATTTGTTAAGAGGGCTCTTCCGAGCACTGTGCTTCTCGCAACAAGAGAGATAGAGAGAAAGGGACGAATAATCAGCTCTCTTTGTTGATGCAAAAGCACACAGACACCAAACACACATGACTTTAAAAAGGACGGTTTAAAGATCATAATTTGTGTCTTGCTCGAAAAAATTTTGAAGCGAAAATCTTGAATTTTAAAAGTTTTAATTTTAAGTCGTTTCAGCTAGGCTTGCAAAAAATCATTTTTCAAAAGTTGTCCCTTTGCAGTCATTTTCTATTCCCCAATTCCAATAGTCAATTCCCGCTGATCGTGTCGATAGATTATGCTGGATAGCCATTAATTCAAGATAATGGGCGCTAAAAAGATGATTATGTGTACACTTTTCACTTCTTCTCATATCCAAGAAAGAAAAAACAACAAACGCCGAACAAACACACAGGAAGCGATGATGTTCTACTTTATCCCTCGTTTCTATATTCTTTATTCACACTAAATCATTCTGGTTCTAGGGTTCTGATCTACTGGAGTGGAAGAAAAAGGACTAAAGTGCTAGTGGTCACTTTGGGTGGATGAGAGAAGGAAAAAAAAACGAAAAACCACGGAAGAAATGATTCGCGCCAATTTTCTGTGGATAATCGAGGATTGGCCTTGAGACACATTCATCGAAAGTTTCTCTGGTCTATTTTTACATTCGAGATAGGTAGATTAACAAGAATCTATAAAAAATGGCTTCATGTCTCAAGTAGCAAAAAAATGACAAAGGAGAAAGTTAGAAGAAAAACGATGACGGGAAATGAAAAGTCATCTATACTCGATAATCAAATCAGACTTTTTTCTCGCAAACATAATGATTGAGAGGGTCTTCTGGACAAGTTGGATTATACCCTAGATGTCTCGCATGAAAATTACCGACAGATGTAGAACGTAGAAAGATACGCCTTCGTGAACGTGAACTTTCTGTGATTGAAAATTTGACTGAAAATAGCCTAACCGGAAAGAACTGAAGTTTGGTAACAAGTTGGTCCACCTATGAAACGATCAATCAATAACCGTCAACAAGCGGGTCGCCGCGAATGACGAGAATTGTATGTGTACATACTTTTCTTTCTACTTTTACCGTTTGTTCAATTGCTGCGTCTCCTTCCGGTAAGAATCTTTTTTTCAATTTCGTGAGAAAGCAATAAAAAACAAGTTTTCATCGGTCATCTCATCGAATATAACCAAGTATTGGTAGTCGGGGACACAATTAAAGATTCCGGTGACCCCAAACGGACCACACAAGCCGTGCTCCTCCTTCTTTCTCTTTTCACAATGCATGAATAAACGAGCAGCTGAGCTCAGAATTACCACTTCTACTACTAGTTCTCTATTACTTCCCTTTTTTCCAAAAGATTATTTCCTAGTACTTCCGACTGCTAAACTATATATATTCAAATTTACAGGTGTATGTGTATGTGTGTTGTACGGGCGTGTACGCGTGGCTAGTGAAAATTGAGGATGCAAAATAGTGGTGGTAGTGAAAAGCAGTCAGCGATTTTTGTCATCGTATAACAATAGAGGCTCTGTTTGCATTGAATTTTCGCCTTGAATAGTAATACAAAACCAGAAGGTATATAATATTAACACTTATCATTCTAACTATACATCTTTTTGCTTTTTTAAAGCTATGATCACGTTTCTATCAGGAGCTACCAGTTTAAGAAATTGGTCGAATTTTGAAAAGCTTACCGTAATCTGAACTGCGACGCAACGCTGCCGTGGCTGCCATCGGTGGAGACAACTGTGACGGGGAGTTGCGTGGTGAAGACGTTGAGTTTGTGTTTGAGCGGGAATGCCTGGAAACAATTTCAGTATTAAGAAAGCTGGAAAAATTTTGAGTCATTCTGTATTAGAAAGTACAATAAGAAACGAGTTGATGAGCAAAAATGTCAACAGTGGAGAGAGAGAGCAAACCGGAAGTTGATCCAATCACTTCTTTTTTGGCTGGCACCAGTACGAAAGCAGTTAAAATGTCTAGAACAAAAAAAACATGATGAGAGCAAAAGAGAAGAGCGCAGAATCAAGTCAGAAGGCGTCATCTTTTAATTAACGTTGTCGTCGAAACCCAGATTTTATTTTCAACCCATTTTTGGTTAGAAAAACACCGAGAAAGTAAAACTTTTGAGAATCTAGAACTACTATGCAAATGCAAAAGGTGGGCGAGTCCTTGTTGTGTCATTCTTTAAAAGCTTTTTATAAATTTGCTTATCATTTAACTGTCCAGCCGTCAACGCCTCTACAAAATTTGATAACAGAAAAATGGAGTTTCGACGTGAAAAAAAAAGAAAATATGATCACAATTTGAGTTCTTGGAGTTAGTAGAAATGAAAACTACATGATCCAAAAAAATACAAATGAATTAGTTATAAAAGAAAACATTTAAGTTTTGCTAAAACTGAAAATGCGAAAAATAACCATCCAGCGTTTTTTTCATACTTGTAACGGGCCGGGCCAGGCTTTTTCCGAATTTCGGAGGCCTGCCCCGGCCCGGCGGGCCTGTCATTCCACAAGTTTTGAAATTTTCAAAAAACTCATAAGGGGGACCCTTATGTGATTTTTTTCGATAAAATTTTTTTTTCGAGTTTTTTTAATATTTTTTGATCAAACAGACAAACAATTAAAAAAAACAAAAAAAAATGGAGAAAATTGTATTGAGAGGTCTAAATTTGGCTCAAAATGACAAAATTTTTGCTACCGGGCCTTCCGGGCCGGGCCCGGGATTTTACAAGTATGGTCTTCTTAAGTTTAAAACCCCATGAATGTAATTTAGAAACCTTCTTACTGATTTTCGAAAGTGAAAACTAGTTTTGTTACTGGAAATTGAATATACATGCTAATATTTTTTTGGTTTTTCCATCACGCTATTAAATATCCTAAACCAAAAAACTACCCTAAACCAAAAAAAAAGTTTGAACGTCAACATAAACGTACGGAAGAAGATGAGATCAAACGATACAAGGACGAAAAGATGCGGAAAAAAGGTCGGGGTCGAATTGCCAAGTCTTAATCCAATCCGCGGCCGCACAATACCGGGGACACACACAGAGGCGAACGTCTCCATTATATACCGTTAATCAATAAATGAGGATAATAACGGAACTCTCTAGAACGGGGGCCAAAAAAGGTGGTGGGGAGGACGGGACCTCTTGTATCGCCCTTCTTGCGTGAGGGCCCCGGTGTGTTTGCGTGTGTTGCATAGTATGTATGTGTTCACTTTTCCCTGTATATCCCACGTCTTCTCTTTTTGCTGGACGGTCGGAAGAGAGGGAGAAAAAAGAAGAGATAGGCCGTCCATCAATGTATACAGGTTACCCCAAACATGTTTTCCGTGGTTGCTAATGCTGATACATTTTAGTAGCATTACGTGGAAACGCTTCCCCCTGTTATATACCAGACACAACACGTAATCATCAACACCAGTTCGTGGATCCTGGCTCTGACCTTCTCATCGATGACTGACCGATATTTGCTTGTGTTGTCACGTTCGGAGAGCATTTCACTTCTCCTTAGAGGTTTTTGTTAAGAGCAAATAGAACGGCTCGGAGTGTACTATCTTGCACACAGATCAGTTCCTTATTTTCAAAATCAGTTTTTTTTTCTAAAATCCTTTCCTGGTTCTATTGATCAAGGAGAAGGAGAAAAAACGGGATGCCATCACTCGAATGTTTGTATATAGTGTTCCAAATTTAGAACATTCGACGCGGACTGCCGGTTTTCCGTGTATGGTGGCGCCGCGCCAGCGGAGTATTTTTGGAACTGTCGATGACCAATCCGTGTGTGTGTGCGGGAAGAAAAAGAGACAAAAATGGTCACGGGTGAAGAGCATTGTGTTGTGGAAAATGAAGCAGAAAAGGTAGAAGAATAGGGAAAGCGAAGAAACAATGAAGTTTTTGTGTTTTTTAGAAGAATGGATAAATCAGAAAATTACTGTTTAGTGAACAAAACCCAGCAAAACTAAAGCATATGAATCAGTTGGATAGGTTACGTTTCAGCCAAAATACGGACGGATTGATTCGTCAAATAGACATACTACAGTAACTGTGTCGGAACTGCAAAATTACCTACAACCTGCTGGTAAATTGGGTGAAATTGAGATAATCCTTTCGAAAAAAAAGATACAGCAAAAATGATGAACTGTGAAAGACCGAGAACTAATGGAAGGACGAGATTCGAAACTACACTAACCCACAGAAGCCAAGTGAAATAGAAAGAAAGTTAGCGAAAGACTTTGTAAGATGTCAGCAATGTCTTATTCTGTTATAAACGGAATTGAGAGAAACATATTCGATAATTATGGATATTTGAAAGAACATCGAATAATTTTTTGAAGTCCCGGAACCCCAAAAAAAGCATTCTTACCATAATCGCTCCCAGTCTAGATTGAAGAAACTTGCAGTTTCTTGAAAGAATGAAGTAGACTGATGGTGTGGAAACACAGATGGGGTTCCGACAAGAGCCGGTGAAGGCACCATCGTTTAGAAATACTGTAGTAGGAAAGTGAAATAGTTGATTTTGTTGTGTTACTCTTGTTGTTGTTATGTTCGAATATATGGTAGGTGTTTATCCAGAGATAATCAGTCGAAAAGTGCTGGTCGGACAATTGAGAGCTCAGCGGGAGGCGGAGATAGGGGAAATGTTGAGCCGCGAGCTCCCTCCGTGTTTTGCGTCCGTCGCCACTACTGTGTCTATATGGTCGTCGCGAGGAAGAAGCGAAACAGCATACTGTCGTGGAGTGAAAAAAAGGAACGATATGGGGGAGAGATGGCGAGCGGGAGAAACAGAGGCGTTTACAGAGAGACCGCGCGGGCGCAGTCCGAAGTAGGCGTGACACAAAACGGTTCGGAAGACGCGAGAGAAAGAGTCTGAATCTGTGCCCGTAGAGGAGAAAAGAAGGAGCAAATACCGTGTTTTTTTCTACGTTCAAGGGAATGAGAGGAAAGAGAGGCATACTCTCCTTGGCTTCTTTTCTTGGGTTTGGTTTTAGTTGCTCCGGCGAAAAAAAAACAACACCGACGCGCGGGAAACACGAGACTCGCGGATTGAAGCATCCCATCGCTATTCAAGCCTCCTACCCTTCAGTTGATGTCATTGTTTATTTATATCGGTAATGACCATACCGTTTTTGGAGGGAGATGACCGGTATCTCACAAGTTCTTGAAGGTTGACCCTGGAAGAAAATTCAAATATTCCGGATTTCGAGACCCGAAGGCACACAAGCTTGTGCTTCTGACATCTTGGTTACTCTGATTGTGCCATTCTTTTCAACAGAACCCGTTGAACCTAATAGCGAGACTCTCCCGTTTCATTTCAGCAAATCTTGGAGCAGAGTTCAATTTCGAGCTTCTGGATCATAAAACAATGGTAAACTTAATGCATCGACTTATACTTCATTTGCTTTTTCTCCTCCCACCGTTAGTTTCTTGTCCATGACAGATGAGTGATTTTCTAGTCAAGACTTTTTTTTTCAAACTAAGATTCTGAAACGCGATAGCTTGTCACCGTCATTCAGCCCCAAAAAACTTATCTAATTCCCAATCTTCAATACCGCATGACATACCAGATGATTTGGTCACTTACAGTATCTTTTTTCAAGAGTTTTTTCTCGAAAATTCAAGAATTACTTTCAAGAATGCCGAAATTTAGATTTTCCTTCTTGATAAGCAGTAACCACTACCAAATTACAGGAAAAAAACACTTATCGCAAATGAATCTATTTCACCGGAATTTTCGTAATTTTGTATGACATTAATTTTTTGCTGATTCGCGGAACCAGTTCCTACCAGTAACCCAATACGAAACGTCCAAGAAAAGACAAGAGTCAAGTAACGTCTTCTTCATTTGTTGTTATTTGTATACTAACTATTTCTCACGATTTAGAAAGGCAAAGCGAACGAAAACTATTTGAGGAGCAGATTTTGATATTAGGGGGTGCGAGGAAAAAAATTGGTTTCTCGCTGCAAATATTTGGTTGTGAAAGAAGTACGCCCAATGACAAGGCAAAATGAATCAGATTGAGAAAAAAACGAGAAAGAAAAATTGAGAAAAATGACCCGAGAAATTGAAAAATTGGGTAAAAACTCGAACTCTCAGCAGGAGAGGGAATGTATGAGAAAGGGAATGAATGAGAAAAGAACGGGGAGTGTTCTGATGGTCCTAGGTTTATTTTGCGTGCGCAATTTTTTGATCTACCAAATTTGTTTAAGTTGTAGGAGTCTCATCAGTCAAAATTTCCAAAAAGACTTCTTGAAAACTAGAAATATTATACTTCAAAAATTGAGATTTTCAAAATATATCAATAAAAAACAATAAAAACTGTGGGCTAGTTTTCAAAAAAAATTTTTCATTTTTTAAGCTTTTGAAAAAAAACGAATACTTTACAAAGCCAGATCCATTCAAAAGCTATTGAATAGTATTTTATAATCCCAACAATATATCGAAAACTAACAAAATGTTCAATAAAATGCACACTGATCACTTTTTGGACTCTTCGTGACCCCGAAAACTTTAAAGCTGTACGAATTTACAAGAAAGAAAAAAGAAGGAGCGCATGGAGCATCTGTCCCAACAAAGTCACAGAAGGTTTTCTAAAATGCAGTTTTTGAAATTTCTCGGACAAAAAAAGAGTTTCAATCATAAGGAAATTTGAAAATCAATTAGAACCAGGTTGCAAAAAGTGTGGAGGAAAAATAATAGGCATTTGTTTGCGTTGCACTAGCCTGTTTGGCAGAAGCGATGCTCTAGCCACCCTCCGCTTATTTATACAAAAACCTTCGGAATACATTTTATGATATTGGGAGCAATATAATATACAAATCCGTTGACCAGAGACAGCCATCCGGATGCATATTTATGCATATATATCCACAATATATTTATGCTTTGACATGTTATTATGAGCGAAGACGTTCACTTTTTCTATGGTAACCATGAGAGAGGCAGAGTTCTGGGAATGTTTTCTAGAAATGAAATTTTTTTGAAAAGATTTAAAAAATAAATACGTTTTTTATAGTTCAGAATTTTTCAGAGAGAAATATTTGAAAAAAAAACATGTGCATGGGAAAATTAAATAAACTGATTTGTGAATTGAGCTTAATCATTCATTCTTGACGCATTTATTTCAACAGGTGGAAGTCAGAAAAATGGAGTGACTCAAGAATTCTAAAACTGAAAAATACCTTCCCTCTCTCATCATGTTTTTGGGAGTGGCAAGTGAAACCGAAAATTAGTCGGATTAAGACTATCGAAACCAGTAAAAAGTCATTAGACTGGGCGGGAGAAGAGAGGACGCTGATAGATTATTCTGTTGTCTTGTTCTTTTTGGTTCCGATTTAGACACATTTCGGCCGACCCAGCAATACTAAGACATTTTTGAGAATGAGTTTTTGGGGAACAATGCCCTTCTCGAATTTGTTAAGAAACGAAGAAAAGGAGAAGAACGAGAGGGTAGGATAATAAAAGTAGAGAATTGAATCTAAAATTCGCAAGTGAAAACAGAATGAAGAACTAGAAAGAAATGATAGTTCGTGGCGGAAAGCAATAGATAAAACTTGAAAAAAAACGTTGAAGAATAAAAAGCAAGTGCGGTGTTATTTTTCTGTGCGAACTGTTGCTGACAATGTTTATGCAAAGCATGAGAATGGAAATAGCCGAAAAAGTGGGAAAAGCACCTTTGTTGATAGAAAAAAAAAAAGAAAAAGAAGGATTAAAGAACAGATATAAAGCGAACAGAATATCAGAATCAGAATATTCCAATGACACATTATTTCAGAGAGGTCTTGAAGAAAAATGAGCCAAAACGTTCTGCTGAATTCTGAGAGAAGCCGAAAGTGCACAAACATAAAACAGAAATTTGTTTATTTTCTAGTAGCCCAAATCAAAACATAGAGTTTTTGATGTTTAATCGATTGAAAATATTTAGAGTCATAAGAAATTGATATTATGTTGAAATCAAGCATAGTTGACATTCTAAGTTAACAAAATAAATTATTAAAACTTTTTTCCGGGATTAAAGCTACTATAGACTTTATTTTCTAATAATTTTTGAAAACGAATGAGTCGGATCGTACAAATCTAACAGGTAGATTATTGTATTTTCACGAAAAAAACATATACTCACTGGTAATTCTCTCTGGTAAACTAACTAGTTTTTTTTTCATCTGTTGTGCCTGTCCTATCAACCTGCAGAAAAAAAAATCAGAACACAACAAATAAAAATTTGAAGTCGAAAACGAACGATTTTAGAGATTGAGGAGCGGCTGACCGCCATACCGGTCACTTCTAAAGTGTTTGCACTATGCGCACACCAAAAGAGGTATCTCAAGGTTACCGCATTATTAGGAGGAGAAAGAAGATGAAGTAAAGAAACGGATGGGGAGCAAATCTGTTTATATACATTCTAATGCTTGGAATAAGTAGTTGCCGCGACAGTTCAGTAGGAGGAAAAAGAGCAACAATCGGAGAGCACGGTCTACTATTATTTTCTGTGCGGATTGGGAAGCAGAGGCATATCCAAAACACTTGATATTTGTGTTATCAGACGGGAAGCGTTAGAAAAAAGATGAAGAACGGTTGAGAAAAGAGAAGGAGTTCGGCATAACTACTGTTTCATTAATAAACAGTTGGAAAAGAAAACTTGATAGAATTCAGAGAAGGGGTTACAAAATAATGCCAAGTAGGTCACTCTTTATTATTTTTCACATTTTGAAGTATTTCGTTTCAAAATAGTAACTGCATGAAGATCACAAGAAGCACAAGAAACGATCCGAAACTTCAAAGCAGTGCTGTTAGTTCCAGAAATTTCAGAATATTCATATTTCATTTTAAATCATAATATACAAAATGAAAATTGGAAACAGTGAAATACCATGTAAGAGAACAAGGTTAAGCGGCTTTAGCAACATACAAGCGCTGGCTGGTGGGAAAACGTGGCGTGTCGGATTGGCATATATATCTATCTCATATATTCAGCTAAACATATATAGAAATAAAAGGAAATAATCGGTTTCTTCTCATCTCGATCAACGAAATCCTGATTTGTGGGAGGCGACGAGACTAGAAAAAAGGCGAATAAAGAAAGCAAGAAGTCGTAGAAAGAACTGGTGGAAAATTGGCGAGAGGACGATCTTTTTCCCGTCTTCCCTCCGCTACACGTCGTCTGATGGCCTCCCGGGCGTCGGTTTTTCTATTTCCCTCTCAATTCACTTTTCAATGATTGAAATCATTTGCGGTTCATGCCCTCATTACCATAGAAAAGAAAAACACAAACTCCTAACGGTAGTTCGGGAAATTTCAGGGTTTTAAATGTTCATAAAGTGTTCAACTCACCTGGAACTCTAGGCCGTGAACAAACTATCAGAAAAACAATCACGCAATGCGTTATGAATATGAAAGAAGAAAAAACAGCTAAGGTAATGATGCCATCACAGGAGAAACATTTGAAAACTAAGAATAATCGAAATAAGAAAACATACAG